AAAACTTAAATTATTAGTACTATGCTATACAACTTTCTACTTTAAAAAATTTTGTTTTAAGATATACATGGATACCTACCTAATATGTAGATGCAAATTCATTTTCTCCCTCAGATTTTCTACTTAGCTGGAAAAAATGAGTATTAAGTGTTCATTCTAGAAAAGTAGGGTAACTTTTAGGAAATGAAATGTCTGTGTTATGTCCTTTTAGCACTTTGGTGTCAAATGCAATGGAAATAAATTGTTTTGGAACCTTTAGAGATGTTGCTTCTTAGAATTTGTCCCTCTGGCTAGATAAAATTAATCTGAGAACAACAATTTCAGTTTTTGATTTAAAGCTGATAGGAGCATTTCTAAGCGTTTTGACCTATGAGAGCTTCATTGTACCCCCACACACCGCACCCCAGTTCTTTTCTACCTCTCCTAAGGTGCCCCAGGATCATCACACATTTGAGATGATGTGCACTCTGAATGTGAACTTGGTAAGAATCCAAAGAATTGGCTTTTCAAGAACCAGTGAAGTAAAAACCACCAGACTGCCTCTCAGCAAGTCCTCAGGAGTGGCAGTTGACTTTAACGTCCATATGCTTTTGTCCTGTATGTCCCCAACCCCCAGACTGTGGACTGGTACTAGTCTGTGGCAGCACTGCAGGAGGTGAATGTAGGAGTAGGGGGCAGCAGCTTTACCTCCTGAGCTCCACCTCCTGTGAGATCAGTGGCAGCATTAGTTTCTCATAGGAGCGTGAACTCTATTGTGAACTGCACATGCAAGGGATCTAGGTTGCACACTCCTTATGAGAATATAAGTAATGTCTAATGATCTGAGGTAGAACAGTTTCATCCCAAAATCATCCCCTGCCCCCCTGCCAGCAACCCCAGGTCCGTGGAAAGATTGTCTTCTGTGAAACCAATCCCTAGCTCCAAAAAGGTTGGGGACTGCTGCTGTGTGTGACAGATCCTTGAACGTGAAGTACAGTTCTCCTAACAGAATTTTTCTTACTTGTTCTGATCAATTTTGTAGTAAGAGTTTCCTTTACAAGCAATGGATGCTACACTGATTTTCTCTTTTGCAATGGGAAACTGGAGACCATGTGTGTTAGAATGGTACATAGCAGTGAAGAGTGTAGGCCGTGAGTTTAATGGGGCTTGCAGATCCTTGGTTAGTAACTTTTTTTGAGATAGGGTCTTGCTCTGTTTCCCAGGCTGGAATGCAGTGGTGCAGTCATGGCTCACTGCAGCCTTGACCTCCTGGCCTCAAGTGATCTTTTAACCTCAGCCTCCCAGGTACCTGGGACTTCAGGCTTTTGTACTACCATGCCTGGATGATATTTTAATTTTTTTGTTTGTTTTGTAGAGACGAGTCTCACTGTATTTCCTAAGCCCGTCTCAAACTCCTAGGCTCAAGCAGTCGTCCCACCTCAGCCTCCCGAAGTGTTGGGATTATAGGTGTGAGTTGCTGTGCCCAGCCATAACTTGTTTTTTTTGTTTTTTTTTTTTTTTTTTGAGACAGAGTTTCGCTCTTGTTGTCCAGGCCGGAGTGCAATGGCGCAGTCTCGGCTCACTGCAACCTCCGTCTCCCAGGTTCAAGTGATTCTCCTGCCTCAGCCTCCCGAGTAGGTGGGATTACAGACATGTACCACCACCCCAGCTAATTTTGTATTTTTAGTAGAGATGGGGTTTCTCCATGTTGGTCAGGCTGGTCTGGAACTCCTGACCTCAGGTGATCTTCCTACCTCAGCCTTCCAAAGTGCTGGGATTACAGTCGTGAGCCACCACGCCCAGCAAGCCTAGCTCTACTAAAAATACAAAAATTAGCTGGGCTTGGTGGCAGGTGCCTGTAATCCCAGCTACTTGGGAGACTAAAGCAGGAAAATCGCTTGAACCCAGGAGGCAGAGGTTGCAGTGAGCCGAGATCACACCACGCCAGCCTGGACAACAGAGCAAGACTGCATCTCAAAAAACTAAAAATAAATAAAAATAAAATTGTGCTTTGCTGGCTGCGGTGGCTCACACCTGTAATCCCATCACTTTGGGAGGCCAAGTGGGTGGATCACCTGAGGTCGGGAGTTCGAGGCCAGCCTGGCCAACATGGAGAAACCCCGTCTCTACTAAAACTACAAAATTAGCCGGGCATGGTGGTGCATGCCTGTAATCCCAGCTACCTGGGAGGCTGAGGCAGGAGAATCCCTTGAACCCAGAAGGCGGAGGTTGCAGTGAGCTGAGATTGCACCATTGCACTCCAGCCTGGGCAACACGAACAAAACTCCGTTTCAAAAAAAAAAAAAAAAAAAAAAAAGTGCTTTAATTTAGTTCTTTGTCAATAACACGAGGAAAACTCTCAATGATAATTTTTTTTTTTTTTTTTTTTTTTTTGAGACCAGGTCTCGCTTTTGTCGCTCAGGCTGGAGTGCAGTGGCACGATCTTGGCTCACTGCAACCTCTGCCTCTGGGTTCAAGCAATTCTCCTGCTTCAGCCTCCCGAGCAGCTGGGATTACAGGTGCCCGTCACCATGCCCGGCTAATTTTTTGTATTTTTAGTAGAGACGAGGTTTTGCCATGTTGGCCATGCTGGTCTCAAACTCCTGACCTCAGGTAATCTGCCCACCTAGGCCTCCTAAAGTGCCGGGATTACAGGCATGAGCCACCACACCTGGCCAAGAATTTTTAAATTACCAAAACACTCATCGCTTTTAACACGCAACAATAGTTCCTCTTGCTTAAGCCCCAGACCAATACCTCAGAATCATCTGGGGAGCTTTTTACAAAATCAGAAGGCCAGCCTGCGTCCCTGCCCTATAAGTCCGCAGGCTTATGGGTGCCAGAGAGTGTTTAGATAACAAGCTCCCCATGTGATCTGACCACACTGCCTCAGACGGACTTGGTTTATTGGCATCTTATCACCTCCAATTTACACGATGCTCAAAAATGGGTTCTCAGGAAAAGCCATAACATTCTTCTTCAACCTCAGGATAGGCTGTACCCAAGTTTCTTCTAATGCCATATTTCAGTCTGAATTAACAAATTCAGAAAACTTCCCACCCAGGGCCTTCTACCAAAAAAAAAGAAAAAAAAATCTGATTTTATTTGTTGACAAAACTGGTTGTGTCTTGTAGAATTTTCCACAATCAGAGTTTGACTGATTATATCCCCACTATTATTTAACATGTTTCTCTGTCCCAGTGTTTCTGATATATTGGCTGATTGCCATGGAAGTTCAAAGAGATTGAGGTTAGATATTTTGGCAAGAACGCTTCATGGATGGTGCGGTACACTTTATTAGGAGGCCTATGGTGCCTCTCTTTGTTATGTTAACAGCCGTATATGATCATTGCTTTGGTCTATTAATTCATTCATGTTTGTAATTAATTATCTTTGAATATCCAATAAATACTGAGCCCCAGATAGAGGCACTTGAATATATTTTTACTGAGAAGCAGTGACACAGAACCTGGCCTTGATTCTCTATTAGAAATGATTATATCTCTTGGCACTATCTTGTGGTTTTAGGTAACTTTGAAGGGACAAAGAATGTTCCAGCTCTCTTTACTGAGCCCTGGTGTGCTATAGATTAGCTGGATCAATACTGACTCAATACATTCATGTTTTCCTATTTTTACCTTTGGGCCTTATTCATATGTCCATATTCTCTCAAGAACACATCATCTTTTGCTTTCAACCCTTGATCCTCACTGGGAGGAGAGGAGATCATGCTGTGGCATGTTGTCTCCTTTCTTTCTTTTCTTTTTTTTTGAGACAGAGTCTCACTGTTACCCAGGCGGGAGTACAGTGACATAATCTCGACTCACTGCAACCTCTGCCCCCGGGATTCAAGTGTTTCTCCTACCCCAGCCTCCCAAGTAGCTGGGATTACAGGTGCCCGCCACCATGCCTGGCTAATTTTTGTATTTTTAGTAGAGTCGAGGTTTTGCCATGTTGGCCAGGCTGGTTTCAAACTCCTGACCTCAAGTGATCTGCCCATTTCGGCCACCCAAAGTGCTGGGATTACAGGTTGAGCCACCACGCCGGGCCATCTCTTTTCTTTTCTTTTTTTTTTTGATGCAGTCTGGCTCTGCCGCGCAGGCTGGAGTGCAGTGGCGCGATCTTGGCTCACTGCAAGCTCCGCCTCCCGGGTTCACGCCATTCTCCTGCCTCAGGCTCCTGAGTAGCTGGGACTACAGGCGCCCTCCACCACCCTGGCTAATTTTTTGTATTTTTAGTAGAGACGGGGTTTCACTGTGTTAGCCAGGATGGTCTCCATCTCCTGACCTGGTGATCCACATGCCTTGGCCTTGCAAAGTGCTGGGATTATAGGCGTGAGTCACCGAGTCCGGCCGTTGCCATCTCTTTTGTTTGTGATTCTGCATTTGAGGAACCTTGCTTTGCTGTGTGACACTTCAAGTTGTTCCTTAGATAAGGAGAGATAAGAAGCGCCCGCTTTTCCACCTCTACTTGGGACAGCTACTAGTTATCGGTCCTAAATAATTAGTTTAATACATTAAATATCCATAACTTGGAGTTTTCTGTCTTCCTTTAGTTAAAAACGTTTTTGAAAAGTATTTAGCTTGGGCCCGGCATGGTGGCTCACACCTGTAATCCCAGCACTTTGGGAGGCCGAAGCTGGCAGATCACAAGGTCAAGAGATCAAGACCATCCTCTCCAACAAGGTGAAACCCTGTCTCCACTAAAAATACAAAAAGTTAGCTGGGCGTGGTGGCACACACCTGTAGTCCCAGCTACTCGGGAAGCTGAGACAGGAGAATCACTTGAACCTAGAAGGCAGATGTTGCAGTGAGCTGAGATCGCACCACTGCACTCTAGCCTGGCGACGGAGTGAGACTCTGTCTCAAAAAAAAAGAAAAGAAAAAAAAAGTAGCTTGTAACATAAAGGAAAAGTTCCTGAGGATATGTGATATTTTAGTGTGTATTCTGAAAGCACAGCTTAATGTTATTCATTTTAAACCCTTAAACAAAGAAAAATATCCTTTGCTCTTCTCTTTTAGGAAATTCACACAAACGAAAAGGAAGTAACAGAGAAGGAAGTAACTCTTCACTTGTTGCCAGGTAACTGTCATGTTAGCATAGTAACTCCTATGCAAGGCAAGGCCAATGATAAATTACATCATCCCTAGCCTTGCTATATTTAAACTCCTTTGTTTTCATCCTCCTACATATAACAGTAATGAATTGAACAAACATATCAAGGTTTTTAGTTCAGTAACTACACACCTGGGTCTGAGTGTTACAACATCTGCAAAGAATTTTTCTTGTTTCCTCTTCCCCCAAGCTGATGAAAATAAACCTGGGATATTCTCACTGCTTTCACAATCTAATGAGGCCTTTTTCAGGCCATTTTAATATGGCCTTTTCCAGTATGCTGATCCCCAATCTGTAGGAAATTGAGGAAAACAATTCAACTGCCATGGCCTCCCAAGGCAACTATTGGTGGGTGACTTTACCTTTTGGTCCATACCCACTTGTGCATGTGAGCACGTGTACTGGGGATGCTGGGGTTTACCAGCCCTGGGGCTGCCAGCACTTCACCCTGCAGTCATTGTGAAGGAGCCTGGATTGGTTGAATATTTTTGAGATAGAGGACAGTGACTTTAGCTTAAGTTAAGTTTTAATCATTTCCATGTTCAGGAATAGAAACTACTTGGTGGTGTATCCTCTCCATATATGGGATATTCTGTGATCCATGTATTTAATTCTTTTTCTACTTTCTTTTTCCTAATTCAAAATAGCTTTTTCAAAATAAGTTTTTTTAGGTACATTTCCCCAAAACAATACAGGCTTTATTCTGCTGCTTTTTATTTTATTCCAGTTTATTGAGGGGATATAAATCTGTGCAAGTTTCTGACTGATCTACCTTATTTGCTAAAAGAATTCTGTAACTTTTTTTGATGTTTTTAAATGTCAAAGACTTTTTTTCTATAATGATGACTTAAGCCGTCATCATTAAAAAAAAATCTCCTCTTGTTTTGCCTCTTCTTGGGGTTATAGATTTGGAAATTTTATTTTTAGCTTAGCATTATGCATATTCTCCCCTCCCCTGAATTACTTCACAGTCTTATCTAGGTGTAGGTGTGCAGTGGTGAGTTCAGAGTTAACTTCTCTGAGTCTAGTTTCGTAAACTAGACAAAGATCATTTCTAGCTCCCAACTCTTGTGCTTCTAGACTCTGATCTGGTATAAACCAGCTGATTATGGCACAGCATGCTATGTTTGCAGAGGGCCTCACCAGGAATGTTGTATTAGCTAGTGCATGCTAATTTCTGGTCTCTAGTACATGAGCATGGGATGGGGCTGGCCTGGTCTTGGGGAGAGCCTCACCATTAAAAGGTGTTTCACGTTGGGAGTTGAAAGCACAGGAAACCTTGCTCACATGTCTTCTCCCATGGACTTGGCAGAGACACTTTTTCTGCGACTATTTTAAACCCTAATGAGGCCCTGTCTTCATTATTTCCTTCAAACTGTGATCTCTCGAGAGGCTGACCTAGTGACTGAACCATCTTCCGGTGTTTCCTTAGTGTTTCAGCCCGAGGTAATTAACCCCTTGAAAGATGAGGGAACAACACCATAATATGTGTCCCTTCTGAGTGTCTGAAACTGTTCATTTTCATATTGAAAGATAGACTAAATAAATTTTGAACTAAAAAGTAAATTTAAAGATCTTGAAGGAGCTATCAAGAGGGAGATTCCAAGGAGAAAATGGTTGTCTGTTGCATGAGAAGAAAAATCTTTAGGTTTTTTTTTTTGTTGTTGTTGTTACACAACATTTATACTTAGTTTTTCATTTCCCCCGTAGTCTTCTCTTTGGCTCCTGTGCTTCCAGGTGGCAGAGAATACTGACCTATTCCCTAATCCTCATCTTTTTGACTGCAAGGAGGGATACTTTCTGTCTCCAGGGACTGCAGTTTCTCATACCAGCTGGGTGCTGCAGATGGAGCAGGAGAGGTGACGCATTGAAAGGAAATACGCTTAACTAAGAAAGAGAGGAAACACGTTTTTTCCCCACAAACCTCTGACCTCTGTTTTCCTCCCAGCGTGGAGCCAGAACAAGGGTGGTCATGCTGTGGAAGGCTGCAGCACCTCTTGGATCTATGGAAGCTGCCTGGAAGCCCCATGGCCAGGAAGGCACTGCCACTCTGTCTCAGCACTTCCAGTATTAGAAGCCGCCCCCTTTCACAGGAAAGTGGGCTTGGGATCTGCGTTTTTTAGGGCAGACTAGGGCAAGGCCATCTGTGTTCACTTAGGGTATTGCTTCTGTAGAACATCTGCTTGGGTCAAGTAATGAAAACACTAAGATTTCTGCATGAAAGTGCAGCTCAGATCATTAGTACCTATTTGGACATTTCCATTATTCCCAGTGAGAAGATAGAAATGTCCTGCATGGAGGTGTATCTGAGCCATTTCAATTTCACTTCTTGGTGGTTTCCACTCTGCCTCATCTTCTCTCCTATGTTTTTGCAGCTCCTGCCATGCTGAAAAGTGTAAAGTTCTGAAGCCCCGTGTTGTATTGTGTGTTTGTCCATATGTAAATAGGGCTGGAAAGCCTTCAGTGTTTACATATTGTGTGTTCCCTGAGAACTCTTAAGGAGGACCTGTTTTGGCTTCCATCAGGTGAACAGCTGCTTTGTGAAGCCAGCACAGTACTGAAGTATGTCCAGGAAGATTCCTGTCAGCATGGCGTCTATGGGAGGCTTGTCTGCACAGACTTCAAGATTGCCTTCTTGGGCGATGATGAATCTGCATTGGATAATGATGTATGTATGGGCTGCATTTGGCAGAGTTTGCGGGCAACAGTGCAGTTGTGGTTATGTTGTCTTTTTCTCCCAGCTTCTCAATTACTCTACCCCCTAACACACATAAACACAAAGAACAGAAATCCTGCATGTATGAACTGCATCTGGTGAAGTTTGCGGGGAATAGTACAGTTGTAGCTCTGTTGTCTTTTTTCCCCCTAGCTACTCAGTTACTCCACTTCCCACCATGCGCACCCTCCCCACCGCCCCACATAAATAAACACAAAGGACAGAGTCCTTCTCATCACTGGCCTGCTCTCTGTCTTTCAGGATCTCCTTTCAGTGGCAGGACCGTTTAGAGATTTCTCACCTGTGCCTCATGTCATACTGGCTTGCTTTTGACTTCATATGTTGACACTGTCAATTTTTAATTTTATTCTGTATTTCAGTGCAATATATACCACTCACTGGAATAACATCTTCCAAATATACTAGTTCCCCAACGTTTTCTCTATACTAAGCTCTTCCTTAAACCTAGGAACTGAGTCAGTAATGAAACCGATGGTGAATGCAGCCTTTGAACTTAGGTTCACTCTGTTTTTGTTGTGTTTTTAATTTTTTTTTTTGAGACAGGATCTCACTCTGTCACTCAGGTTGGAGTGCAGTGGCACAGTCGTGGCTCCAATAATCCTCCCACCTCAGTCTCCTGAGTAACTAGGACCATAGGCGTGTGTCATCACGCCTGGCTAATTTTGTTTTTTTTGGTAGAGGCAGGGTTTTGCCATGTTGCCCATGCTGGTCTCGAAGTTCTGAGCTCAAGAAATCCACCTGGTTTGGCCTCCCAAAATGCTGGGATTACAGGCATGAGCCGCCTTACCCAGCTCACCTTATGTTAAATCTGAACCTGTAGCAGTGGCCTTGTGAAATTTGTTCCTACTCATGAAGAATGAGCAATTAAGTAAGGAGAGAACTGCCCATACCACTAGGAGAGCACCATATGTTAGTGGAAACCCAGCCAAGGCACGTCCTGGTCCCAGTGTGCCAACTGTCCCAGATCACCCTTGATTTTTAAAAAGTAGCACCAGTGCTGCCTCTTCCATCTGGCCTTGGGCTTGGTTCATAGTCCTGTACAAAGAGCATTCACCAGAAACTTGAATCTCTTGTTCTTCCTGAAGCTGACTTCAGGTAGCTCTGTCAATCCCCTATTCACATTTGTGTGGAGAAATGTTAACCTGTACATAACTTCCCCACACTTCTCAAAGTGATTGTGTGTGGCATGGTGGGTTTGCCTAGGAGGAGCCCAGAGATGGCATATTCTGGTCCAGGTGCGGTGGCTCTTGCCTGTAATCTCAGCACTTTGGGAGGCTGAGGCAGGTGGATTGCTTGAGCTCAGGAGTTCGAGACTGGCCTGGGCAACATGCCAAACTCATGTCTCTAAAAAACCACAAAAATTAGCTGAGAGAGGTGCTGTGTGCCTGTAGTCCCAGCTACTCAGGAGGCTGAGGTGCAAAGTTAACTTGAGCCCAAGAAGTGGAGGTTACAGTAAGCCAAGATCGCCCCACTGCACTCTAGCCTAGCCTGAGTGACAGAGCTAAACCCTGTCTCAGAATGAATCTCAGGAGCTTTTCTCACACACTTCATTGTCCCTTTTTTAGGAATGTCGCTGCATTTCCCCATTTTTCTTAATATCCAGGTAGAGAATGGTGATTTACTCTGCCTATAAATGTCTAACAGTATGCAGAGGAGTCACAGTTGTTTCCTTTTGAATCTTCTAGGAAACTCAATTTAAGAATAAGGTTGTAGGAGAAAATGACATTACACTCCACTGTGTTGATCAGATTTATGGAGGTAAGTATCTGTTTTCCCTTGGGGTGTTGGCAACCTTTGAGAGTATAGCTGATAATGATGATAATATTTTTATGACCATTTATAATTAAAAAAAATTTTTTCACATATATCATCTTGTTTAAATCTGTTTTATAGATGCTAGAATTGAGATGTATAGTGGTTTATATAGGGTCACTTAGCTAGAGGAGCTTGGATTTGAACTTGGAACCTGTTCTTTCTAATATTTCACACGATGCCATTATATGCTAGATGTTGATCAGACTTTCTGAAATCAGAGTTAGCTGTGTAGGTTTTACTTTATAGGCTGCTGTGATTAAAAGGTCTGTTGTATTGCATTAGGATGTCTTTTCTGCTGACTAAACAAGCCTCTCCTGCCAAGCCTCCCTCTGTTCCACTTCTCTATTTTTGTATTCGGGGCATCTTCAGAAATCGTTCAGTGATCGTTTATGATATTCTCAAGACTACTAGGTGCTGAGTGGGTCCAAATTCTAGGACAGTGAGGGGGTCTTAGGAGGGGTCCTAGCTGTAAACCCAGGAGCTGACTGTCATGAAAGCATGTCTCTAGTCATTTCCCTTTCATCTTTTATAAGATCAGCTTTCATAGTGGGTTTTCTTTGGGCCACCGGATTCAGTTCTGCCAACAGTGGCCAGTCTGTTCGTTCTTGTGCTTACTCCAGAGGAGTGAAGCACCCTGACTGCTCTCACAGAGCCAGGGCCCCTGCTGGAAGAGATTGGGCTTCCTTTGGCAGTCACTTAAAAGGCAGGCAGCACATTTCCTCTCATTCTTGGGAAGTATCCCTAGAAATTGATCATCGACTTCGTTTCTTTAGCATTCACTTATTGCTGTGTAACATAATTTCCCTTCCTGATTTCATTGCTGATCTGTAGTGTTTGATGAGAAAAAGAAAACTCTCTTTGGACAACTGAAGAAATACCCTGAGAAGCTCATTATCCACTGCAAAGACCTTCGAGTGTTCCAGTTTTGTCTGAGGTACACAAAGGAAGAGGAAGTCAAAAGGGTAACTAGTTGCATGTGTTTTTAGGTTTTATTTCCCATCAGGTTTTCCCCACTAGCTCTAGTTTTTGCTTACGTTGCATGAAGGTTAAAGGGAGGCTTTCACTCTGTGAGCTTGAAATTGGTTGTAATCCCATATTCTTTGATTAGAATGTGAAAGGTAGTTTGATAAAGCATGCCTGTGTATCATCTTGGCACATGGTACCTTTAATACTTCAATTCATAATGTTTTTATTCCTGGAGCCACTAAATGGTGGGAGGTGGTAAACCAGGTCAAGAGGCGGTAGGGGAAAATGAAGGAAGGATGAGACAGCTAAAAGTTTATGCCTATTCTCCCACTTATGACAGTCTTTCCACAAGACGGTAGTGATGGAGAATTCCAACTTCTATGAGTAAATGAGTTTACCTGTGGGAGGTAGTGGTTGTGCATGGAAAGGAGGAAGTATACAGGTCAGATGAGCAAAGCCAAATAATCAGATAAGCTTTTGGAGACTAAGTAAACTTAATATCCTGGTTGCCACAGCAAGTTGAGATATGCAGCTGGGTGAACTCAGAAAGTAGTTGTATCAATTTGATATTTGTTGTAATTTCTAAGATTTTTTTTTTTTTTTTTTTTTTTTGAGACTGAGTCTCTATCACCCAGGCTGAAGTGCAGTGGTATCCAAGATTTCTCTTATTAAGATATTGATCTCAGACTTTTCCCTCTGATGGTATAAATACATCAGGGGAAACCTAGCAGGAGGCCTGTTCATGTATATTGTCTTGGCTACAGTGAGTTTGCACACTTAGTGGTAACTCCTTAATTTTCTTTAAGAGAGTGTGGTAGTTCAGTTAGAATAATAAACATGACTGGTATCTATTCTGAGCAAGAAAAGAATAGTATAGATACAGAAAATTTCCTGAGAAGACAGGAACTTCAGTTCGAACAATGGTTTTAGTCACTTTTCCAAATACACTTTAGTTTCACACGGTAGACAAACAGAAAGTGTGATAGATTGATTTCTTTCTCTTATCTTCCATAAGAAGGTCCTAAAGGCCTCAACAATGGATCAGAACAGCTGTGTCTTGGTTATCATCCGATATCAGTTGTAAGTCTTTGACATGTCAGAGTTTTGGAGTATCTGACTTAATGTGGCACTTATCTTTTTTAGCACTTTGTTTTTGAGAAATTAGACTATGTTTTAAAATTTTCCCTAGAAATTAAGAGTTCTTAGAAAACCTGACAAACGGGGCTGGGCACGGTGGCCAATGCTTGCAATCCCAGCACTTTGGGAGGCCAAGGTGGGTGGATCACCTGAGGTCGGGTGTTCGAGACCAGCCTGACCAACATGGCGAAACCCTGTCTCTACTAAAAATACAAAAAACTAGCTGGCATGGTAGCACATGCCTGTATTTGCAGCTACTCAAGAGGCTGAGGTGGAAGAATCGCTTGAACCCAGGAGGCGGAGGTTGCAATAAGCAACAAGAGTGAAACTCTGTCTCAAAAATAATAATAACAATAACAGGCCAGGCAGGGTGGTTCACGCCTGTAATTCCAGCACTTTGGTAGGCTGAGGCAGGTAGATCAGTTGAGATCAGGAATTCGAGACCAGCCTGGCCAACATGGTGAAACCCCGTCTCTACTAAAAATACAAAGATTAGTTGGGCATGATGATGCAGACCTGTAATCCCAGCTACTCTGGAGGCTGAGGCAGGAGAATCGCTTGAACCCAGGAGGTGGAGGTTGCAATGAGCAACAAGAGTGAAACTCTGTCTCAAAAATAATAATAGGCCAGGCATGGTGGTTCATGCCTGTAATTCCAGCACTTTGGGAGGCTGAGGCAGGTAGATCACTTGAGGTCAGGAGTTCGAGACCAGCCTGGCCAACATGGCGAAACCCCGTCTCTAAAAATACAAAGATTAGTCGAGCATGATGATGCAGACCTGTAATCCCAGCTACTCTAGGTGAGGCAGGAGAATTGCTTGAACCCAGGAGGCGTAGGTTGCAATGAGCCAAGATCGTGCCACTGCACTCCAGCCTGGAGCAGAGTGAGACTCTGTCTCAGAAAAAAGAAAAAAATAAATAATAAAAATTTTTAAAAAAGAAAGAAAGAAAACCTGACAAAATGGTAGTGTCCTGTTGATTTGGCATTATTCCAAAAACTAATGTCATAGATACAGATCTCAAATGAGAATTAATGTGTGATCCATTGGAACCCCTTTGGCATGACTGAGAACCTAGACACCTTGACTCTTGTCTCTTAGTGTTTATCTGTCAAAAGCGTAACTATATCCATTGTTCGGTTTTTTTTTAGATTGTCAGTGGCATAATTCATCATACCCAGGCTCCTAAACTGCTTAAACGATTGTTTCTGTTTTCCTATGCGACTGCTGCACAAAACAATACAGGTAAATATCTTCTGGGTTCTAATTTGAGGGTAAGCAGAAGCCTTCCAATTCCCACCTGAAGCCAGTGGGGGAAAACCCATCTATGGGTTGTTTTGTTTTTTTGTGTCTCCTCTACCAGTTGGTCACCCCTTGCTTGAGTGATTCATTCAGATATCTACATTTTCTTTCCTGTGATTTTCTTTTTTTTTTTTAAAGATGGAGTCTTGCTTTGTAGCCCAGGCTGGAGTGCAATGGCGTGATTTCCGCCCACTGCAATCTCTACCTCCCAGGTTCAATCTCTACCTCCCAGGTTCAATGCCTCAGCCTCCTGAATAACTGGGATTACAGATGCCCACCACCATGACTGACTAATTTTTATATTTTTAGTAGAGATGGGGTTTTTCCATGTTGGCCGGGCTGGTTCCAAACTCCTGACCTCAAGTGATCCATCCACCTTGGCCTCCCAAAGTACTGAGATTACAGGTGTGAACCACTGGGCCAGGCCTCCTGTGATCTTTGTTTACCTTCTTTTAGGTTTGTTTGCTTGCTTTTTGCAAGGGATTGTTTGATTGGTTACATCTTAAGAAAGATTAGATCAAGGTCTGGGTACAGTGGCTCACGCCTATAATCCCAGCCCTTTGGGAAGCTGAGGTAGGTGGATCATGAGGTCAGGAGATGAAGACCATCCTGGCCAACATGGTGAAACCCTGTCTCTACTAAAAATACAAAAATCAACTGGGCATGGTGGCGTGCGCTTGTAATCCCAGCTACTTGAGAGACTGAGGCAGGAGACTCGCTTGAACCTGGGAGATGGAGGTTGCAGTGTGCCAAGATTGTACCACTGCACTCCAGCCTGGCATAGAACGAGACTCCGTCTCAAAAAAAAAAAAAGAAAAATAAGATCAATATATTATAACTAGGAATATGAGACTATAGGGAAACAAAGTTGAGAAACGTTTAAAATAACCATGTTTGTCCCTGGTTTCTTTTTTCTATTTAAATATACTTGATTTTATTTCATAAGACTAGAGAGAATTTCTTGCATTCTAGGAAGTTTTTAAACAACCAGAGCATACTTTATAGCAAATATTTTAGGGGGAATGGGACAGTTATACATAAGAAAAGCACATCCAGCAACTAATTTAGTAAGACAAAACTTAAAGTTCCCAGTGTTTTTCATTCAGTTTGGTGAAAAAGAGAGCAATCTTTTAAGAACAAAACTCTGGGTCATCTGAATTAGCCATTAACAATGCCTAGCATTGGATGTGTTTTCACAGATGTCTGTTTTCTTCTTGTTCTTTCGCCTCAGTCTGTTCACTTGTTCTGTCCATTATTCTTTTTTTTTTTTTTTTGAGATGGAGTCTCCCACTGTCGCCCAGGCTGGAGTACAGTGGTGTGATCTTGGCTCACTGCAACCTCCGCCTCATGGATTCAAGCAGTTCTCCCACATCAGCCTCCCAAGGAGCTGGGATTACAAGCACACACCACCACGCCCGGCTAATTTTTGTATTTTTAGTAGAGACAGGGTTTCACCTTGTTGGCCAGGATGGTCTTGAACTCCTCATCTCAGGTGATCCACCCGCCTCAGCCTCCCAAAGTGATGGGATTACAGGTTCAAGGACCTGTTCGTTATTCCTTTTTTTTTTTTTTCTTCAAGACAGGGTCTTCCTCTGTCGCCCAGGCTGGAGTGTGCTGGCATGATCTTGGCTCACTACAACCTCTGCCTCCCAGGTTCAAGCAATTCTCCTGCCTCAGCCTCCTGAGTAGCTGGGATTACAGGTGTGTGCCACCACACCCAGCTAATTTTTTTGTATTTTTAGTAGAGATGGCGTTTCACCATGTTGGCCAGGCTGGTCTCGAACTCCTGACCTTGTAATCCTCCTGCCTTGGCCCTCCAAAGTGCTGGGATTACAGGTATGAGCCACCTCGCCCGGCTCCTTCCATTACTCTTAACATGAAGTTGATGTTGAATGATCCTGAGTCCTATGTAGTTTTTGTCAGGGAAGTGGCAGCGTTTTTTTTTTGTTGTTGGTTTTTTTGTTTTTTTTTTTTTTTTGAGACAAGTCTCACACTGTCACCCAAGCTGGAGTGCAGTGACGGGATCTCAGGTCACTGCAACCTCCACCTCGCAGGTTCAAGTGATTCTCCTGCCTCAGCCTCCTGAGTAGCTAGGATTATAGGCACATGCCACTACGCCTGGCAAATTTTTGTATTTTTGGTAGAGACAGGGTTTCACTATGTGGGCCAGGCTGGTTTCGAACTCCTGACCTCAAGTGATCTGCCTGCCTTGGCCTCCCAAAGTGCTGGGATTACAGGCATGAGCCACCATGCCCAGCCTAGGAGTTTCTTTTAAAAGTACACAAGGCTTTGTCATAAGGCTTTCTGGAAGGTAGGGTTGCTTTGTCACTATCCGTTCTTTTAGTAAATATGTATTGACTGCTTGCTGTGAGCCAAGCTCTGTGGGTATATGGAGATAAACAGGACTAAATCCCTGCCCTCAAGAAGTGTAAAGTCAAAAAAAAAAAAGAAGCGTAAAGTCATATAGGAGAGGAAGCTGAGTGATGTGTCCTCTGTGGAGGCACCCACCCTCTGGGGGTGGGTGGACTATTGGGGGAGAAGCCTGGGCCTTAGTAGATAGTGGAGCATCTGGTAGGCTTAAAGGAGTATTTTGGGCAGAAGGATTGGCGGGTACAGAGATGTAGCTATCTCATAGAGCATGCTGCATTTTGGGAGCTATGGTGATTTCATAGAAAAGGTATAGATAGGTTTTGGTGTCCATTTGACCTGTGTTCAAATCCTGGCCTTGCTGCTTTCTAGCTGTGTGATCCTGGGGATGACACTTAACTCTGTTAAGATAAGAAAACTTCTGCTTTATTTTAAAAATAGCAGCATTAAGTCTTGTGAGAACTATAAATTATTAATGGATGGCACATAAGGTGCAGTCATTAATTGGGAGTTAATTGAGAGTAAAATTGCATATTACTGAGGACGGATTATGCTCAGAGAATTAACACTGACATAAAATACACTTCCCAGTAATTTTAGGTTGAACATAAAATTTGTCCCTTAATTCATTAAGTTTATCTTTGTGAATGACAGATTTTTACTGTAGTTATGTAAACAAGTGCTGATTAACTGGGTGCTGACTTAGAGTTTGTGGCAGTAAGACATATACAAAGATGACTTGTTGATTACTATAATTTGTATAAACATTTATTGAGTGCAAATTTGCAAAATCATGTTCTCCTTTCAGGAATTCTGATTTTCCTTGTATCCTGATTTTTGTTCTGTACCCAGCATAGGACACTTTCTCAGCCTGCCAACGTATGTGGATCAGCATGCCAAAACCCTTACCTTGATCGACCTTGGCAGTTTCATTACCTTCTGGTGGCTTTTTGCGCCAGAGGCCCAGGACATGTATTAATAGCATCTTTCATTCTGATTTAGTTCCACTCTTCTACTTCCTTCCAGCCCTCATTTTTTTTGAGAAGTAAAGGTTATAACTCATAGATGCTAATTGACCAAATAGCTTTTTCATTGAATAGGGGTTTGTAGAGGTGGGTGCTTTGCAATTTGATGCCTTTAATTATTCCCTGGCTTCATAATTCACAAATGTGTTTAGGTTGGAAGGTCCTAAATGCTTATGACATGGCATTTTAGGGAAGGACATGGCTTGTATTGCCTAGAAGATGGCCTACTGTGGTAAATGGGAATGTGATTACTACTTTATATCCATGGGGAATTTTTTTTTTTTTTTGGTGGGATTTGGAGGGGCAGGATTAGAACTTTACAGAAATTTCTTCTATAGTTTCCTGGGTTTGAATCCCAGTTCCATTACTGCCTCGCTTTGTGACATAGGCAAGTTACTTGACCTTTCTGCACCATATCTGTAAAATGGAGGAAATGATCATACCTGTCGTATTATCTATTCTATAGGGTTGTGAAGATTGAGTTAATGAAATGTAATATAGGCTGGGCACAGTGGCGCATGCCTGTAATCCCAGCACTTTGGGAGGGCGAGGTGGGTGGATCATGAGGTCAGGAGTTCAAGACCAGCCCTACCAAAATGGGGAAACCCCCGCCTCTACTAAAAATACAAAAATTAGCCAGGCGTGTTGGTGGGTGCCTGTAATCCCAGCTACTCAGGAGGCTGAGGCAGGAGAATCGCTTGAACCTGGGAAGCAGAGGTTGCAGTGAGCCGAGATCGCACCACTGCACTCCAGCCTGGGCAAAAGAACGAGACTCCGTCTCAAAAAAAAAAAAGGTGTTATGTTCAGAACAGTACCCAGTAAGTGCTATATAAGCACTAACTATTATCATCATCATTTTCTTATTTTTGCTATGATTGGTTTTATTAAAAGGAGCTGGGGTAATTTTTGTAAACGCTTTGTTTTTCCCAGAAGGCTTGGTTTTTTAGATGTGCAAAGACTTGAACTATTTGTGATAGAAGTTGTGTATATACTCAAGACTATTGTGGTACATGTGTAAATACCCGGCAAGCAGTGCTGTGGCTTGGGAGAAGACCAAGGACAATCTGCTAGTCTGCAAGAGCAGTGCTCCAGGGCATTTTATCCTAGTAGGTAGTGGCAGGGCTGGGTTGGGGATAGAAGTATGTGCCCATAACCATGATTCAGCCCTCGGCTAGCAGGCCCTGATCCTCACCATGGCTATCATCTGTTTATGACCTTCAGTGACCAGTTGTCACACTAGACAAATCCTCTTACAAGCAGTGCATCTTCAAACTGAAGGAGGATTTACATTGAAGAGCCTGAGATAATATTCAAATTAGTTGGCCGTCTTATGCACACATTGGCAGGGCTAAAAATATTTTGTCACTTTAGCATTTGTGCCAAGCCTATATTTTAGTGCTTCACATGATCTTCTTGTGTTATATAAATTAACTCATGATCAGATGACTAGAAATGCAGCTATAAATTACTTTTCCAAGGAGTGGAACTCAGTTCCTACAATGTAAAAAGACTGAGCTGGCCGGGTGTGATGGCTCACTCCTGTAATCCCAGCACTTGGGGAGGCTGAGGCAGGTGGATCACTTGAGGTCAGGAGTTTGAGACCAACCTGGCCAACATGGTGAAACCGCATCTCTACTAAAAATACAAAAATTAGCCATATGTGGTGGTGCGTGCCTGTAGTCCCAGCTGCTCAGGAGGCTGAGGCAGGAGAATCACTTTAACCCAGGAGGAGGAGGTTGCAGTGAGCCAAGATGGCGCCACAGGCCACTGCACTCTGGTAGGGGCAATAGAGTAAGACTCCATCTCAAAAAAAAAAAAAGACAGACTCAGTCATAATTTTGGATTCATGACAAAAAATGGAACAAGGTTGGGATTAAGCAATCAATTTATTCTGCTTGGATAAAAATGGGCTTAGTGGAGGAAACCAAAACCTAAGGAGGGACTGTCACATAATGAAAATACCAGTGCTTCATGGAAGGATTTTATTGTCTTTTACATTTTGTTCTCTTAGTCACTGATCCCAAGAACCATACCATAATGTTTGACACACTTAAGGACTGGTGTTGGGAACTGGAACGGACCAAAGGCAACATGAAATACAAAGCAGTGAGTGTCAACGAAGGTTATAAAGTCTGTGAGAGGTAAGCTTTCCATGCTGGGCACATGCTGTACAATTCACCCATTGAAAGTGTTCATTGTTTTTTAGTATATTCAGAGTTGTGCAGTCATTACCACAGTCAGTTTAGAACATTTTCATCATCCCAAAAAGGAACTCCATACCCATTGACTGTCACTCCCCATTTTCCCTGAATGCCTCTCTGTTCCTCCCCAGCCCTAGACAACCACTAATCTACTTTCTGTCACTGTAAACTTGCCTATTGTGAACATTTCATATAAATGGAATCATATCATATGTGATCTTTTGTGACTTGCTTCTTTCACTTAGCATGATGTTTTCCAAGTTTATTTATTTTGCAGCTTGTATCAGAATTTCATTCTTTTTTATTCCTAATATTCCATACTGTGGATATATTTAATTTATCCATCTATTAGTTGATGGACAATTGGGTTATTTTCACTTTTTGCCTCTTTGAATAACGTGTTTTTGTTTTTTGTTTTTGTTTAAGACAGGGTCTCGCTCTGACACCCATGCTGCATCATGCTGGAGTGCAGTGGTGCCATCTCAGCTCACTGGAACCTCTGCCTCGGCTCAAGTGATTCTCCTACCTCAGCCTCCTGAGTAGCTGGGACCATAGGCGTGCACCACCATGCCTGTCTAATTTTTCTGTTTATTGTAGAGATGGGGTTTCACTGTGTTCCCCAGGCTGGTTTTGAACTCCTGGGCTCAAGCGATCCTCTTACCTCGGCCTCCCAAACTTCTAGACTTACAGGCATGAGCCATCGTGCCTGGCCATGAATGATATTAATATGAACATTCAATTACAAATTTTTGTGTAGATGTATGTTTTTATTTTTCTTGGGTATACTACCTAGAAGTGGACTGCCAGATCCTGTGGAAATTTGTGTTTACCCTTTTGAGGAACTTACAGACTTTTTCACAGAGACGGTGCCATTTTACATTCCTACCAACAGTGTGTGAGAGTTTATTTCTCCACATCAATACTAGCTTTTTATTATGTACTTATTTATTTATTCGTTTTAAGACAGAGTCTCTCTCTGTCCCCCAGGCTGGAGTGCAGTGGCGTGATCACAGCTCACTGCAGCCTCTACCTCCTGGTATCAAATGATCCTTGCACTTCAGCCCCCTGAGTATCTGGGACTACAGGTGTGCACTACCAAACCCGGGCTAATTTTTGTATTTTTTGCAGAGACTGGGATCTCGATATGTTGTCCAGGCTGGTCTCAAACTCCTGGACTCAAACCATCCTCCCACCTCAGGCTCCCAAAGTGCTGGGATTACAGGCATGAGCTACTGTGCCCAGCCATTCTAGGTTTTTAAAGAAAATCTTAAAGTGCCTCTTAAATACTCAAAAATGAATTTGTATATTTGTATCTTTTTATTGTTGTTGCCATTATTGTATCTCTAAGTGTAAAACTTAAAAAAAGCATGTCTGAATTTATATTGTATATTTTCTTCCCTGTTTTTTTTTTTTTGAGACGGAGTCTTGTTCTGTCACCCAGGTTGGAATGCAGTGGTGCGATCTCAGCTCCCTGCAAGCTCCGCCACCTGGGTTCACGCCATTCTCCTGCCTCAGCCTCCCGAGTAGCTGAGACTACAGGCGCCCGCCACCACGCCCGGCTAATTTTTTGTATTTTTAGTAGAGATGGGGTTTCACCGTGGTCTCGATCTCCTGATCTTGTGATCCACCCACCTTGGCCTCCCAAAGTGTTGAGATTGCAGGCGTGAGCCACCGTGCCCTACCTTTTTTTTTTTTTTTTTTTCGGAGATGGAGTCTTGCTCTGTCGCCCAGGCTGGGGTGCAGTGGCGCAATCTCAGCCCACTGCAAGCTCTGTCTCCCGGGTTCACGCCATTCTCCTGCCTCTGCTTTCTGAGTAGCTGGGACTATAGGCGCCTGCCACCACACCTGGCTAATTTTTTGTATTTTTGGTAGAGACAGGTTTTCACCCTATTAGCCAGGATGGTCTCGATCTCCTGACCTCGTGATCCGCCCTCCTCGGCCTCCCAAAGTGCCAGGATTACAGGCGTGAGCCATTGCACCCGGCCTTTTTCTTCCCTCTTATTGAGCACTTCTTTTATTCATTCAACAAAAATTTTTGAGTGCCTACCATGTACTTGGCAGTGTCCTAGCTATTAAGAGATGGCAGCAATCAACAGGGCACCTGAAGACCTCTGCCCTCCTGGAGCTATCATTCTGGAGGGAGGAAGATGATGGTAGAATAAAGAAGTAAATTATAACATGTTAAAAGATAAGTGCTGTGGAGAAAAACAGATCCAGCACTTGGTTAGGGAGTGCTGGAGGTGATGATGGGAGGGTCAGTCGGGAAGGTTTTGCATGATGGGAGTAAGGTTTTGCGTGGTAGCTCGTGAGCATAGGAAAGTGAAGGAAGTGAAAGGCTGAGTCAGAGGACACCCGAGGGAGGAGCATTCCAAGTGAAGGGAGGAATAAGGGCAAAGGCCTGTGTGAGGAACAGCAAGTAGCCCAGGGGTGGAAGAGGAGCAAGCAAAGGAGAGGAGTGGGAGATAATGGGTCCAGAGACTTTGTTGGGAGGACAGTGAGAGGGAGGCTGAGCAGAGGCAGATATGATCTGACCTACATTTTTTGTTTGTTTGTTTGTTTGTTTGTTTTTAAGACTAGAGTCTCTGTCACCCAGGCTGAAGTGCAGTGGCGTGATCTCGGCTCACCACAACCTCTGCCTCCTGGGTTCAAGTGATTCTCCTGCCTCAGCCTCTTCAGTAGCTGAGATTACAGGCACCTGCCACCATGCCCCGTTAATTTTTGTATTTTAAGTAGAGACGGGGTTTCACCATGTTGGCCAGGCTGATCTTGAACTCCTGACCTCAACTGATCTGCCTGCCTCGGCCTCCCAAAGTGCTGGGATTACACATGTGAGCCACTGCGCCTGGCTGACCTACATTTTTAAAGCATGACTGTATAATCTGTTTTCAGAAGCTTGAATATTACCATTTTGGAACATACTCCCTAACACCCTATTAACAGATTCATACAACTTTGTATTTTTGTGGAGCTCTTTGTATTATGGTTCTGATAGGCCTCTTCAGTAATCAGTTTTGATTTTGATCATTCTCAACATTTACAAGGTTGCTGCCACTGGCCCCCCTCGCCACTGCCCTGCAGTCCCTTCACAATGTGAGCTGTGGTGATGGTGGGGAAGGGCCTGCCAGGGTCCTGACCCCCACCAAGGACCTCATTATCAGCCACACCCTGTTCTTTTCTCTTTGCCGGTTTTAAAGCTTGAAAGGATAAAGCTAGCCCTTGCTCAGAAAGAAGTTAGAAACCCCTGCTCCTAGGAGATAATAGTTTGTAATAAGATGTTGATACTAACATAAGTTCCCAGAATTGTTTTTAAAAAACATCCTGGCACATACTAATTAGTTGGCGTTTGCATAGGTGTTAGCATGTTAGAAATATACAGGAAAAGCTCTGTGATTTGTTTCCCCCTGGACCACTGTAGTCTCTGCTCCATGGTGTCCCCCATCCACTGGTGCCCCAGCATCCATTCTCCATGTCGCATGCCAAGCAGGCTACTCCACACACCTCTCATGGCACTTGTCCCCAGCTTCAGTGGCTTCCTGCTGTTCTTGGTATAGAACAGAGCCCTCAACAAGCACTCTCAAGGCCCTTTATGGTTTGACTGAAGCTTTGTGTCCCACCCCTCTGGCCATACTGACCTCCCTGCCACAAGTCTTGCCCGCAGGCTCCTGTCTGGAAGTCCTTTTTGCTTCTAGCTGCACAAGTATAATTAACTCCACTTCATCAGTTGGACCTTACCCCAGCTACCGCTTTTTTTTTTTTTTTTTTTTTGGAGACTGAGTCTCACTCTGTCACCCAGGCTGGAGTACAGTGGTATGATCTCGGCTCACTGCAACCTCTGCTTCCCAGGTTCAAGCGATTCTCCTGCCTCAGCCTCCTGAGTATCTGGGATTATAGGCGTGTGCCACCATGCCCAGCTAATTTTTGTATTTTTAGTAGAGATGGGGTTTCACCATGTTGGCCAGGCTGGTTTTGAACTCCTGACCTCAAGTGATCTGCCCGCCTCAGCCTCCCAAAGTGCTGGGATTACAGGCTTGAGCCACTGTGCCCAGCCCCAGGTACCACTTTCTTTGCGAGCTTTCCCAAGACTAAGTCAGATGTCCTTCTGAGTTTTCATTGCTCTGTCTGCCCCTCTTCACAGCACTCCCTGCAATGGCAAGTTTGTTGTTATTTTGTATCATTTGGTTAATGTGAGTTTCTGCAGCCTACAGCTCCGTGAAGTTAAAGGATGCTGTTTTTGCACATTGTTATATCCTCAGTACCCAGCCCGGTGGCTGGCTTCTAAGAGGAGCTCAATAAATAGGAGAAAGAAGGAAAAGCCCTCTTTGTGTTTAGAGGGGGACCTGCAGTCAGTCTGGGTAAGAACAAGGAACTATCTACTTCACTTTCCCACAAGGTCAGAGCTGGCTATTTCGGTGCCACAGGTGTCTTCTCTTTCTCATTCTCCTCGCCTTTCTCTCATCCCGCTTCCCTGTAAACGCATAGGATGGTATGTGGCCTTGTGGAGTGTGTACCACACAGAGGGACCTAGGAAGTGTTTGCAGGCACAGGAAGACACTGCTGTTCTGGGAGGTTGTGCCTGAGTAGATACACAACTTTCCATGAGTAAAGTCATCTTGTATTTGCAGGGACTGTTTACTTTGTGTTCGAAACTCATCTTAATGACTGAAATGACTGCTTTCCAAGGAGGGAGGATTAAGTGCTTTATCCAATGGGAATCTCACAGTGGGGACTCCATGGAATCCACCTGGAATTAAGTAGTCAGGAGAGGACACCTCTCACACCCCTCACTGACTGCAGGAGTCTTCGTTTCTGTACAGCCTTCTCTGCTGGGTGATGAATGGGATATTTGCCAATACATTTGGTTCTTTTTTTTTTTTTTTTTTTTTTTGGTGAAAGACTATCTGTAAGAAAACCAACCACTGAACTAATAGTTTAAAATATTCAACCTCACTAGTTGGGGAAGACATGGAAATTTTTTTAAAACCATGGGGCCCCAGTCCAGCTTTGTAGCATGAGCCACTGAGGAAGGAGCTCAGGATCTGGTTTGAACAACTGCACAGTTGACTGTCCTGAAAAGGTTGAGAAACAGTGGCCTGTTTGTAAGTTACCATCTAGAGCAGTGCGTCTCCATTTAATGTGTATCTAATCACTGGAGGCTCCTGTCTAATATTCAGAATCTGACTCAGTAGGTTGAGGGAGGCTAGAGCGTCTGCAGTCCTCATCAGCTTTCAGGTCATGCTGCTGAAACTATGAGTAGCAGGATCTTCTGGAACAAACAGTGTTCATCCCAACTGCTTACCTGGAGAGCTTTTAAGCTTCTGATTTAATAGTTCTTGGATGGAGCCTGGACATTGGTAATCTTTTAATCTTCCCACTTGATTTGAATGAGCAGCCTGAGTTTTAAGAGCAGTTGATCTGTGGAGAGGTTTTTACTTCAGTGACTACACCTGAAAAAGGGATGCCTTACCAGTCACCCATTCAGGCAGACTTATAATAAATATTTCAAGTGCTTCAGAACTTCAGAAGGCAAACATTCTTCACAGTTTTGATGGTTTGAAGTGTCTTAGTGACCATTAGTTCCCAAACCTGGTTTTCCATCGCAATCTTATTGGAACTTTTTCTTCATTAATTACCTTTAAGATTTCTTGGTTTTGGATTTTTTTTTTGAGACAAGGTCTCGCTGTGTCACCCAGGCTGGAGTGTAGTAGCACAATCTCTGCTCACTGTAACCTCTGCCCCCTGGGCTCAAGTGATTCTCCCGCCTCAGTCTCCTTAGTAGCTGGGACCATAGGTGCCCGCCACTATGCCCGGCTCAATTTTTTATATTTTATATGACTATAAAAAATTTATATCTATATTTTATTTATATTTGTATTTTTATATTTTTAGTAGTGAGGGGGGTTTTGCCATGTTACCTAGGCTGGTCTTGAACTCCTCAACTCAGGTGATCCACATTCTGGGATTACAATGTGAGCTACTATGCATGCCCAGCCCACGGTTTTTTTTTTTTTTGAGACAGAGTTTTGCTCTGTTGCCCAGGCTAGAGTGCAGTGGCACAATCTTGGCTCACCGCAACCTCCATCTCCTGGGTTCGAGCGATTCTTCTGCCTCAGCCTCTCAAATAGCTGGGATTACAGGCGCCCACCACCATGCCCAGCTAATTTTGTATTTTTAGTAGAAACGAGGTTTCACCATCTTGGCCAGGCTGGTCTCAAACTCCTCACCTCGTGATCCACCCACCTCAGCCTCCCAAAGTGCTGGGATTACAGGCATGAGCCACCACACCCAGCCGATGTTTTTTTAAATGCAAAATTTCAAGCAGTATAAAAGGAAAGAAGATATGATGAATTCCCATTTACCCTAAAGTACCCAGACTCAACCGTTATCAACTGATGGCCAATTTTGTTTTCTCTATACCCCCACCTCCTTCACCTTCTCTTGGATTATCTTGTTTTAATTTTTTAAAGACAGGGTCACCCAGGCTTAAGTGCAGTGGCACAGTGATGGCTCACTGCAGCCTTGAATTCCTGGAGGCTCAAGTGATCCTCCCAAGTAGCTGGGACTACAGGTATGTGCCACCATGTCCAGCTAATTTTTGTGTGTGTGTGTGGAGGTGGGGTCTCACTATGTTGCCAAGGCTCGTCTCAAGCTCCTGGCCTCAAGCAGCCCTCCCACCTTGGCCCCCAAACTGTTGGGATTATAGGCGTGAGCCACCATGCCCAGCCAGGATTATTTTCAAATAAATTCCAAAGTTTGTGGCATTTCATTCACAAATATTTCAGTATATATTTCTAAGAATTAAGGACTCTTTATAAATATAACCATAAGACCATTACCACACCTTTCAAATGTCCCATTAATTTTTTAATATCCAGTTACTGTTCAGATTTTCCCCAGTGTCTTACAATTTTTTTTTTTTTGAGACAGAGTCTTGCTCTGTTGCCCAGGCTGGAGTGCAGTGGCGCAATCTCAGCTTACTGTAAGCCCCACCTCCCAGGTTTACACCATTTTCCTGCCTCAGCCTCTGGAGTAGCTGGGTCTACAGGCGCCTGCCGCCACCCCCAGCTAATTTTTTGTATTTTTAGTAGAGACAGAGTTTCACCATGTTAGCCAGGATAGTCTCAATCTCCTGACCTCATGATCTGCCTGCCTTGGCCTCCCAAAGTGCTAGATTACAGGCGTGAGCCACTGTGTTCGGCTGTGTCTTACAGATTTTTAAACCATTTCTCTGTCATCTTTTTAATCTTTTTTAAAATTAATCAAGATTCAGTGAGATTGGTAGGTTTGGTAAATTGCTTCATCTGTAGATTTTCAAGTCATCATATTTTTCTTGCAATGTGTTGAAGAAACTAGACTGATAGTTTTCCACACCTTAGGTTTTGATGATCACAGCCCCATGGTAATATTTATTTGTTGCTCCATCTCCTATGAACTGATCTACATCACACATGCAGCATGCATGCAAACGCCATTGATTATTTTCCATTGTAACTTAACACCATAAGCACCTTACTTCTTGTGAGTCTTTATTTCAAACTTTTTCAGGGAAAGACGCTTACAGATTCTTACAGATTCACAGTGATAGAAACTTAGGCAGTTTTCTTATTAACAGAAACCTGCATCTGCTGCCTAAGAGATGATGTCCCCATGTAACTTTGATCTTTCATTCTGCCATGTCCTACTACTTAACAAGTTGGTTCTTTTTAGAGACTAAATTTTCTCCTATAGAAGTTGAAGTCCCACTGCTTGGGTTCAGGTCCCTGCATCACTGTATGCTAACTAGTTGTGTGACCAGGGGAGAGTCTTAGCAGCATTGTGTCTCAGTTTCTTTATCTGTAAGATGGAAATAATATTACATATCTCATAGAATTGTTGGGAGGATTAAATGGATAATGTTAAGTAATTAGAACAGTGGTTGGTACACAGTAGCACTTAAATGTTCTTGTCAGAGCACTTGATAAAATGTCTGGGCAGCAAACATCATAATTACTGTTTTTCCTATTAGTTTAACTGAAAACAACACAGATGCTTATTCGGCTACTATATGATGAGAATAATACTCCCAATTTCATAATTCTATGCTTTTAGGTATCGTATTTTCCTATCCCTTCATTTCTGAACAAGGAAACAGACCCAGAGAGGTAGAATAACTTACCTGGGGTTGTACAGAGTCGCAGGCAGAGCCACAGTTTGGACTTAGATTCCCCACTGATTTATCCAGAGTGCTTTATGCCACACCGAGAGCAGCAGTTCCTCTGAGCTGGTTCTCAACAGGGAAATATGGTCCTGTCTGCTTAACGCTCTGCTTGTATTCATCGTATTCATTGAAATTGAGCTTTCCTATTTTGTGAATTAAGTGTTGTACTAAAACTTGATGACATTTCTTTTTTCTAGATTGCCAGCATACTTTGTTGTCCCCACCCCTCTTCCTGAAGAGAATGTGCAGCGCTTTCAAGGTCACGGCATACCAGTAAGTGCATCTGGGAACCCTAAGAGACGTGGGTCCTGCATTGGTCTATCCTGGCAAAAATGATCCTACTGAAAGCCCTTGGCTTTGGTTCTAGAGTTTGTTTTCAGTCCAAGAGCAATCCAAAAATATCTTAGGGACTCCCTAGAGGAGTCTCTTAAACGTGATTGGGACAGAGTTCTAAAGTTTTCACAAATGCACTTGAGTTTTTAGAAGAGACATTAATGGAGCTTTAAGAGGATCATAGATCTGTCTGGTGTTGAAAGCAAGCCTGGTTTAACACCTAAGTCATTTTGAACCTGAGCCAAACCACACCAAGGGTAGTAAGATTTAAGCTTCTTTTGGCCCACGCCATTAATCTTTGTTCGGGCATGGTGGTGTTTTCTCCCAGAGAAAACATGGAGTGCTTCTTAGTTTTCACAGAATTGAGTGGGATTGGAGCCATATTTAATGTGTCACTGATCAAAGAAAGCAAGACTCTGGCAGTTACTCCAGTTTCTAATTGGCAGTTGGGAATTGCCAGACCTGCAGGGTATTTAGTAAGGAATGAGAATTATAAATAAATGCTGTGCTGTGCGCACAGCTGGTTCACCAAAAGGGTCACTCCCATATGGGTGGAGGTATGGTTAAGCAGGGTCACATGCCCAGAAGCCCTTGGAGGCCACGCAGGTAATGAGTATGACCTTGCAGTGAACCAGAGGCCCTCTGCCTGGTCTAGGGGGACATCTCTTCAGTGCCAGCCAGTATGTGCCACGTGGGAATATGAGCCAAGTGTTGCCAGATGGCCTGATTTTTCAGGAGAAGCCGTAGATAACAGATTCTTTTTTTTTTTTTAAACGAAGTTTCACTCCTGTTGCCCAGGCTGGAGCGCAGTGGCCCAATCTCCGCTCACTGCAGCCTCCGCCTCCCAAGTTCAAGCAGTTCTCCTGCCTCAATTCTCCTGCTTAACACTCTGCTTGTATTCATCGTATTCATTGAAATTGAGCTTTCATATATTGTGAATTAAGTGTTGTACTAAAACTTGATGACATTTCTTTCTTCTAGATTGTCAGCATACTTTGTTGCTGTAATCCCCGAGTAGCTGGGATTACTGGCGCCCACCACTAGGCCTGGCTAATTTTTTGTGTTTTTAGTAGAGACAGGGTTTCGCCATGTTTACCAGGCTGGTCTCGAACTCCGGGCCTCAGGTGATCTGCCTGCCTCAGCATCCCAAAGTGCTGGGATTATAGGTGTGAGCCACCACGCCTTGCCTAGATACAGATTTTAATGAATATATGCCACTGATTCAGATGTTTAAAAGCATATTTTTGGGCCAGAGTTGGTCACAATGAATAAAATTCATAATTTTTGGTTCTTTATTAAGGACATTCTCAAGTGAAACTTGTTTTCTGCTGGTGTGGCAGTAAAGAATACAGTGAGCATCAGTACAGTTGAGTGGCCCTGCCTTGATTGGTACTCTCACCAGCAATTTTACCACCACTGCTTTTGTACCATCAGTGCAAAAGTCACCATGGTACATATGACAAAATTATATCTTAGTATTATTATGAAAATATCTGTGGCCTCTCAGACCACCTGATAGGATCTTGAGACCTCCCAGGGTAGTGTATACTACACTTTGAAAATGAATGCGTTAGAGGAATGAAAATAAGAGTCTCTATCTTTCAGTCTTTCATAGAGGGATCTAGAAAAGACAGTTTGCTTGCTGGGCAAGGTGGCTCATGCCTGTAATCCCAGCACTTTGGGAGGTCGAGGCGGGCGGATCACGAGGTCAGGAGATTGAGACCAGCCTGGCTAATACAGCGAAACCCCGTCTCTACTGAAAATATAAAAAAAATTAGCCGAGCGTGGTGGCGGGCATCTGTAGTCCCAGCTACTCGGGAGGCTGAGGCAGGAGAATGGTGTGAACCCGGGAGCTGGAGGTTGCAGTGAGCCGAGATCACGCCACTGCACTCCAGCCTGGGCGACAGAGCGAGACTCCATCTCAAAAAGAAAAAAAAGAAAAGAGGGTATGCTCTGTGGGAAGAAACAGAGGTGAATTGTTCACATATGTAAGAATAGGCTGCTTCTCCATCCCTGCAGTGTGTGAAATGTAGATGCTCTGCATTCTAGTGAGGCCTTGGGCCTGAGAAGTAGCAAGTGTTCTGATAAGATTTGAGTGAGGAGCCTGAGGCATTACTTTGAAAGAAACTGTGGCATGTACAGGGCACAGTGACTCACGCCTATAATCGCAGCACTTTGGGAGGCCAAAGCAGGTAGATTGCTTGAACCCAGGAGTTTGAGACCAGCCTGGGCGACAAAAAAAAATTAGTCTGGTAAGGTGTCACATGCCCATAGTCCCAACTACTCTGGAGACTGAGGTGGGAGGATCCCTTGAGCCAGGAGTTCGAAGCTGCAGTGAACTGTGATCGTTCCACTGCACTCTAGCCTGGGCAACAGAGTAAGACTCTGTCTCAAAAAGAAAAGAAAAGAAACTGTGAGAAGGTGTTCTGATTTCATTAGTTATTCCTATATTTATACGTCCCAAAAGTTACAGTGGAGTTTGTGTGAATGGACAGCAAAAAAGTATTACACAAGATGGAATTTGTACATCTACCCAGGAAACATAGAGCCCCCAATCTCTCTCTTTCTCCCTCTCTTTTCTTTTAACATAAAATTTTCATTTGACTGGAACATGAAGATCACCAGAAATGGTCTTAAGCAAATAAAAAGGTAATTTATTTTATATTTGGAATGGGTGAAATTACCTACCTTAACCTAGAATACCCAATCCTTTTAAATGTACACAGTACCTCTTTAGCCTCTTGTTTTTAGTTTTGTTTAAGACAGGGTTTCTCAACCTAGGCACTATTGATATTTTAGGCCAGATAATTCTTTGTTGTGGAGGCCATTAAATTCTTTGTTGTGGGGGCCATTATTGTAGAATATATAGCATCAGTACTGCCAGTAGCGTTTTCTGAGGTGCCAGTAGCACCCCTGCCCTGTGAGTTGTGACAACCAACAAATATGTTCAGACATTGCCAAATGTCCCCCCTTGTGGGTGGGGTGGGGGGGGCACAAAATGCAGGTTGAAAATCCCTGCTTTAGGTGATCTGGACTGTTTTCTGTTCAGCATATGTCTCCTCTGACTCTTAAGAGACTTACAGAAAATGTGACAACTAGGTAATGTGAGTGTCTGTAAGCCCCTCTGTGGCTTGGTCTTTACCTGTTCTTCTTTCTGTCATTCCTATTGAACCTACTCGTATTTACACTTATTCTCCATGCTTATTTTTGTTGTTAAGCAGATAAGAACATCCAACTATTTTCTCTTAAACCATATGTTTAAGAGATTTGCAAAAACACAAAACAATGCCGTTTATCTTCCTATATGTTTTTGGTTGGAAAATGTTATTTACAGTCACAGGTAATTGGTAATTACTGTTTTAAAATGAATTAGTATTTTAAAAGTTTCTCAGTTTTAATTTCTAATGTGGTAAATATCAATAGCTATAGCTTATGTAGACACAAGCTCTTCAGGGTCCTCCATAATTTTTAAGAACATAAAGGGGTCTAAGACCAAAAAGTTTGAGAACCACTGATCTGCAAGATTGCACGTACATATATTTTCTCTAGGACCTGGCATATAAGCACTCAAATCAATAGTAACAGGTAATTTACAGTAGGTGCACAGGGAGCTAAGATTGAAGAGATAGTTTGGGGCTAGATTATGAATGATCGATCTTTCGTTCACAGAATCTTTAAAAATTGTGGTAAAATACACGTAACATAAAATTTCCCATAGTGACATTTAGTATATTCTCAATGTGTTGCAACCATTACCACAGTCTGTTCCAGAACATTTCCACGTCTCCATGCTGTCTACCCTGTCTTTTCACCCAGTCTATTCTTTCCTGCCTTCACTTCTTTTCAGGGAAGACCTGTATAATTTGTCAGTTTATTCATGTCCTTGCTGCTATTCTAAAGGCTTTGGCTGCTGTTCTTCAACCCTGAGTATCATATTTTTTTTTCCTCTGGGGCAAATGAACATTGCTATGGATTATTCAGACCAAACAGCAAACTGTGCTTAACGGGACCTGTGAAAACCACTGGTGATGCTTTGTCCTGCCCAGCAGTATGCTATTTAACTGCTTTTGGTTCCTGTATCATTGTTCTCTGCGTGAACAGGTTTTCATCCTCTTTAAGTTTTTTGTATCATTCTTAACTTCCAGTGACGATCTTTCTCCTAGTCCAGCGGGATCCAGGACAGCGACAAGAACTCCCTCAGCTTCCTTCTATTCAGCCTCCTGTTGTTACTCTCTGGGCTTCTGTTTCCTTCATACAGAATCTGGGTATCTGTCTGGGCTCTTGATTGCCTCGTTTGGAGCCCAGTTCCATTGGCCTTCCCTCTTCCATGGTTGCCTTTCCCAAGTCTGTTCTGCTGTGTCTGTTCTTGAAGACATCCTTCTGTCTCCCTTAACCTGAGGCACTTCCGTAGTAATCAAGGGGCTGTCTTGTTCTGCCTGTACTGCCAAGCATATTTAAGGAGTCTATACTTGTTTTCGCTACCATTTTGTCTTGCAACATGACTTCTACTCCCCACACACTGTGGACATTTCCCTCCCAGAAGTCCTTATGCAGTGTGCAGCCCCAGTCCCCCACATGACTGCAGTGTTTGACTCCGATGACATTGTCTTTTAAGTTCCTGCCCTGGCTTCGGAAACACTATACTCCCTTGGCCTGCTGACCTCCTTCATGGTCCTTTACTGCTTGCTTACGCTGCCTTCTGCCTCAGATTGTAGATGTTCTCTTAAAGCTCTGTTTTTGACTCTATTAAGAGAGGGACCAAATGTCCCTCTCTTAAAATGTACCAAATAATGAGTATTCCTTTTTTTACAAAAACAAATAAGATTAACAAACTGTGATTCTTGTCTGTGAAGTCACTCATACTAAGAATTCTGGCCCTCACTGTTACCAGAGAGAAATTGCAGCAATAGAAGATTTTTTGCTACGTTTCTGTGAGAAGCCTCTCTGACTAGGAACTTTGCTTGTTTCTATTTACTGTTTCACGCAGATAGTAGTAAGGCAGTTGGCCCTTCACGCCTCACATGAAATGAGACAGTTATGATTGGAAGTTATTACATGTGCCCCAGATGGAAAATGAGTTGGAGATCACCAAGGGACTATGCTTTCTGCCCCTTCTCCAGAAAAGGAGATAAAAAGGGTTAAGAACACTTAGTTTCTTAGGACTCACCATCCAGTCATGGCTAAGAGTATCTCCCCTTTATCCAAGTGAGCTGCGCTAACTAAGGGGGGCACAATGGCCTGGGCACCAAAATTTTACCACGCTAGGCAGAGAGCTGAAAACTGTGTGGTGATTTCTGCACGTCACTTAGCATGGCATTGAGAAAGGGAGCACACGAGCAGCAAAGGGCCCTTTGATTATCTTAGTGTTCTAACACTTCCGCCTCACCATGAATCTTCAAGTATGGCTTGGCCCCAAGAGGGGAGTTGTTGCTGTTTTCAGTAGTTCCTAAAGCAGTTCTGTGTCGCTCTGTCCTTGCTCTCTGGGTGGGCTCATCATCACCCCCACTGCAGCAAGCCATCAGCTCCCATGTCTAGAGCTCTAGGCCTGTTTTCCTCTCATTTTAGGGACCTCCTGAATATCTACACATGGAGGTCCTGTTGGTACTAGACAACCAATATGTGCTGATTCCATCACCTTCCCTGGAAATCCCAAACCAGTTTCCCTTTGTGATTTTCTAAGTGTAGTGCACAATATCACCTGGATTGTTTTGCTGATCTCTAACTCTTGGTCTAGGCCACTGCTAGCATATCCAGTGCATGGTTTATACCTGGCAGATGAATGGCAAAAAGGTGTCGCCTTTGGGCAGCTGAATTATAAAATGTCTTTCTTTCCTCCAGGTTTACCTTTGAGCCCAGGCCAGTGGCTTGCTCAGCAAAGCAAGGGCTGGACCTTAGCCACCCTCAAGCACTTAGCCGGGCCTTTAAGCAGGACTCAAAGTCCACAACTGTACTCACCTGTCCAACCAGTCTGTCTGGCTTCTCCAATCTAGGCTCCACTGGCAGATTACTTTGCCCCAAGATCTGTTCTAATCTCCTTTTGTTCCTGAAAAACAAACAAACAAAACCCCCCACTGTATCCTGAAAAAAGCCTGAGCAGCTTAACCTGTTGCCAAAGCAGAAGAAAGCCTAAACGGCCTCACCTGCCACTCTTGGTCACTCATGTGACTTCTTTCTCCTTGCCTTGTTTGTGGTGTTCCTTGAAATTTCTTTCTTCTGTTATATAATACATTGTACCTTCTTTTTTATTCCTAAGCTTATTTCCCTTTTGAAACTAAGCTCTGAAGGAAGACACAGTATCTTAATATCTTTGTGCCCTCTCGCAACCTAATGTAGTGCCTTGCATGTCGCAAGTCTTGAATTCAGTTATGTCAAATAGCCAACATTCCATTCTTCCTCGTGTGGATTTTCTCTAATGAGAGTTGCCCCCTTTTTGCCATCCGTGTACAACACAGCCTTTAGAGTCACACTGTGGCTACTTTCTGTACAACTTGGGAAAGTTCTTCCATCTCTCCAAGCCTCAGTTTCTTGCTGTTAAGGGGGATAAATAATTATACCTATCACGGAGAGTTACTATAACAATTAAATGAGTTAATTCATGTAAAATACCTGACATGTAATAAGCTGCACTTGAATGATATCTACTATCCTAATAATAATAATAATAATAATAATAATGTTGTTGTCATCATCTGGGTTACCAGCTGATGATAAGTCAAAAGGTATATGTTAGACCGTAAGTCTGTGTCTGACTACCTAGACCTGTTTATTTTTTAAAACTAAATCATTCTTTTTTGTTGTGACTAAATACTCCCAGGCTTAATAAAGTTGAGTATGTCCAGCCATTTCATACTGAAGTTACAAATTTCCATGTATGCATTTAAATGCTAAGCTTAAGTGTCCCCTGTTGGGTTGTGTTTATTATATCTGGTAAATCTTTATTTGTTTCTACAGATATGGTGTTGGTCCTGCCACAATGGAAGTGCCCTTTTGAAAATGTCAGCACTGCCCAAAGAACAGGATGATGGCATTTTACAAATCCAAAAGAGCTTCTTAGATGGGTCAGTACTAGTTCTACATTTTGTTCTTGTTCAGTTCTTGTTTTCCAAGAAGCAGGGAACAGATCTTAGTAGTATGTCTATTTCTATTTACCCACTGGTAGCTTAGTGCTAGGGGAATACAACTTATAGTGATCGTTTCGAGTTAATTTGAAAGGAGTCAGTATAACATAATAGTTAAGAATGTCACCTGCGTTGTTTTTAGAGGTGCACGCTAAAGTCTTCAGCAGGGAGGTGACATGATGTCTGTAATGTTAACAATTGTCAAATTTAGGTCATGGTACATGTCTCTGTACTATTCTACTTTCTGCATGTTTCAAATTAAAAACAAAAAAACAAAAAAACCCAAAGTAGATGAATTTAAAAAAAAAAAAAGAAGGAATAGACTCAGAGTTACATTGCCTTGGTCCAGATCATGGCTCTATCAGTTTATAAATTGGATAATCTTGGGCCGGGCAGTTTTACTCTATGCACCTCCATTTCCACACCCATTGACTGGGAACAGGAGTCCCGCAGCAATTGCCTGGTAGGTGAAGATTAAATGGAAGAATGCCTACTGAGCCCTTAACACAGATTGTGGCACATAGTAAATCCTTAGGCAAAATTTGTGTTTGCTCTTCTAATCTCATATTCCTTTTTGATACCTAGAGTTTACAAGACCATCCACAGGCCACCCTATGAAATTGTTAAAACGGAAGACCTGTCAAGCAACTTCCTATCCCTGCAGGAAATCCAGACTGCATACTCTAAATTTAAACAGCTATTTCTGATAGGTGAGAAGAATACTGAGCAAAAACTTTTGTGTCATGGGGAAAGACATGCCAGGCAGATCAGGTGAAAGTTGGTGCCTTTTCCCTGGGTTCCTTAAGGTAGTATGCAGAGCCCAGGGCTGCGATGTCATGGAGCCCGGGGTCTGGCTGCCTTTACCACGCTTCTCTCCTCATCTCTCTCCAGGCTTTCCCCCACTGCCTCCTTATTGTGGCAGTGATAACACGGCCACCCTCCTCTTCTCCCCTTCCTCAGCATACCAGTTGCCCAGTGGTGAGCATTTTGGTTTCTTCCTTTAAAAGTTTTTTATCTATGTAGCATTTATATTTGTTGACTTGCAGTGATTTATAAAGTGAATAATGTTCATTTTCCTATGTAGACTTTTTCCCAAAGTGGAAATGCTTTAATTTTTCCCCCTGATTGGGAATATACAGTTTCTAACAATATTAAAAGTTTTATCAAAAGTGTACAAAATAGAAAATGAAATATGCCCATCCCAGCTACCCCCCATTTTCCTGCCCAGGCTGCCTACTGGTGCCTCATATTTAACACTGCTCAGTCACTCATTGATTCTCTTCATTCTAGAATGAGACTTTACGATCTGAGATTTGTCATGCCTATAGGTAACTTTTCCTAACTTGGACATTTTTTTTTTCTTTTTTTTTTTGAGACAGGGTCTCACCTCTGTCATCCAGACTGGAGTGCAGTGGCATGATCACAGCTCACTGCAACCTTAAAACTCCCAGGCTCAAGTGATCCTCCCACCTCTACCTCCCAAGCAGGTGGGATTACAGGCACATGCCTCCTCACCTGGCTAATTTTTGTATTTTTTGTAGAGACAGAGTCCCATAATGTTGCCCAGACTGATGTTGAACTCCGGGGCTCAAGCGATCCTCCACTTTGGCCTCGCAAAGTGCTGGGATTATAGGCATGAGCCACTGCCTGGACTAACTTGGACTTTTTAGCCTAGCAAATGCTTAACTATTTTGGGATTCATTCCGTGACATTTTTTGAGTTTCCATTGAACAAGGGGTGTTCAAAAAGTTCATGGAAAATGTGTATTATGAAAAAACTATGCATGAATTCCCAAACTTTTTTACCCCAAAATAACTCTACTAACTTATTATAATATGCCTGAGCAGGATCTGGTCTGAGGAGCTAAGAAGGGTAAGAAATTAGTTTGAAAACAGCGCCTATTAGAGCAACATGAATTCTGCTGAAATTGAAGCAAAAACAAATATTGAATTTATGGTGAAGCTTGGGTGGAAGAATGGTAGAATTATTGATGCTTTACGGAAAGTTTACGGAGACAATGCCCCAAAGAAATAAGCAGTTTACAAATGGACAACTCATTTTTAAGAAGGAGCAGATAATGTTGAAGATGAAGCCTGCAGCAGCAAACTGTCCACATCAATTTGCAAGGAAAAAATTAATCTTGTTTCTGCCCTAATTGAAGAGGACCAACAGTAGAAGAAACAATAGTCAATTCCATAGACATCTCAATTGGTTCAGCCTACATAATTCTGACTGAAAAGTTAAAGTTGATCAAACCTACTCACTGGATGTAGTGGCTGATGCCTGTAATCCAGCACTTTGGGAGGCTGAGACGGGCGGATCACTTGAGTTCAGGAGTTTGAGACCAGCCTGGCCAACATGGCGAAACCCCATCTCTGCTAAAAATACAAAAAGTAGCCGGGTGTACTGGCAGGTGCCTGTAATCCCAGCTACTTGGAGGGGCTGAGGCAGGAAAATGAACCTGGGAGGCAGAGGTTGCAGTGAGCCAAGATCATGCTACTGCTCTCCAGCCTGGGTAATAGAGCAAGACTCCATCTCAAACAAACAAACAAAAAAACCTTCTACTCAGTAGGTGCCAAAACCATTGTGCCCAGATTAGATTCAGATGAGAGCAGAGCTTTCAACAGAAATTTTAAACAAGTGGGATCAAAATCCTGAAGCATTTCTTTGAAGAATTGTTAGCAGGAGAAGAAACATGGCTTTACCAGTACGATCCTGAAGACAAAGTACAATCAAAGCAATGGCTACTGAGAGGTGGAAGTGGTCCAGCCAGGGCAAAAGCAGATGGGTCAAGAGCAAAGGTCATGGCAACAGTTTTTTGTGATGCTCCAGCCATTTTGCTTGTTGACTTTCTGACCAAACCTCTCTGCTTATTAGGAGAGGTTTTTGTTTTTTTTGAGACAGATTCTCACTCTGTCGCCCAGGCTGGAGTGCAGTGGTGTGATCTTGGCTCACTACAACCTCTGCCTCCTGGGTTCAAGTGATTCTTATGCCTCAGCCTCCTGAGTAGCTGTAATTACAGGGGTGCACCACCACGCCCAGATAATATTTGTATTTTTAGTAGAGGCAAGGTTTCACCATGTTGTCCAGACTGGTCTTGAACTCCTTACCTCAAGTGACCTGCCTTCCTCGGCCTCCCAAAGTGCTGGGATTATAGGCATGAGCCACCGTGCCCAGCCATAAGAATGTTTTAAGAAAGTTGGCCAAAGCTTTAGTAGAAAAATGCCCAGGAAAACTTTGTCAGAGGGTCCTTGTGTACTGCTCATTCCTCCTATCAAACAAGGGCAATTTTGCAAGAGTTTTTTTGTCTTTTTTTTTTTTTTTTTTGGGAGACGGAGTCTCTCTGTCGCCCAGGCTGGAGTGCAGTGGCCGGATCTCAGCTCACTGCAAGCTCCGCCTCCCGGGTTCACGCCATTCTCCTGCCTCAGCCTCCCAAGTAGCTGGGACTACAGACGCCCGCCACCTCGCCTGGCTAGTTTTTTGTATTTAGTAGAGACGGAGTTTCACCGTGTTAGCCAGGATGGTCTCGATCTCCTGACCTCGTGATCCGCCCGTCTCGGCCTCCTAAAGTGCTGGGATTACAGGCTTGAGCCACCGCGCCCAGCCTTTGCAAGAGTTTTGATGGGAATTCATTAGGGATCTACCTTAAAAGTCTGATTTGGCTCCTTCTGACTTCATTTTCTAATCTTAAAAAATCCTTAAAGGGGGCTGGGCGTAGTAGCTCACGTGTATAATTGCAGCACTTTGGGAGGCCAAGGTGGACGGATCATCAGAGGTCAGGAGTTCGAGACCAGCTTAGCCAACATGGTGAAACCCCATCTCTACTAAAAATACAAAAATTAGCCAGGCACGGTGGCGGGCGCCTGCAATCCCAGCTACTCGGGAGGCTGAGACAGAAGAATCGCTTGAACCCAGGAGACAGAGATTGCAGTGAGCCGAGATTGTGTCATTGCACTCCAGCCTGGGTGACAAGAGCAAAACTCCATCTCAAAAAAAAAAAAAAAAAAAAAAAAATCCTTAAAGGGAACCCATTTTTTTTTTTTTTTTAGTTAATAATGTAAAATAGACTACAATAACGTGGTTAAATTCCCAGGACCCTCAATTCTTTAGGGGTGAACTAAATGGCTGGTATCATCTTTTTTTTTTTTTTTTTTTTTTTAGACGAGTCTCTGCACCCGGCTGGGTACAGTGGCCGATCTCAGCTCACTGCAAGCTCGCCTCCCGGTTCACGCCTTCTCCTCCTCAGCCTCCCAGTAGTTGGACTACAGGCGCCGCCACTCGCCCGGCTAGTTTTTTGTATTTTTTAGTAGAGACGGGTTCACTGTGTTAGCCAGGATGGTCTCGATCTCCTGACCTCGTGATCCGCCCGTCTCGGCCTCCCAAAGTGCTGGGATTACAGGCTTGAGCCACCGCGCCCGGCCTATGGCTGGTATCATCTCTTATGAGAGTGTCTTAAACTTGATGGAGCTTATGATGAGAAATAAAGTTTATATTTTTTATTTTCATCTTTTAATTCCATGTTTTCACATACTTTTGAAGTCCCCTTGTATATGCTAACTATGCTAGGTGTTGGTGATAAAGAGAAATATAACACCAGGAACTTACACTCTTGCAAGGGAAACAGCAATGTATGACTCTAACTCAAACTAAAACATTGCAATACATGTTTACTGTTTAATCAAGGACATTCATTCCAGTTTTATTTCAATCACTCAGGACTTTCAGGGATATCTGTCTTTTATTGATTTGAGTTTGCAACTTTTTTTTTCTTTTCTTTTTTTTTTTTTTGAGACAGAGTTTCGCTCTTGTTGCCCCATCTGGAATGCAATGGTGTGATCTCAGCTCACCGCAACCTCTGCCACCCCGGTTCAAGCAATTCTCCTGCCTCAGCCTCCCAAGTAGCTGGGATTACAGGCATGTGCCAGCACCCCCAGCTAATTTTTTTTGTATTTTAGTAGAGACGGGGTTTGTCCATATTGGTCAGGCTGGTCTCGAACTTCTGACCTCGGGTGATCCACCTGCCTCGGCCTCCCAAAGTGTAGGGATTATAGGCATGAGCAACTGTGCCCAGCCTTTTTTTTTTTTTTTTTCATTTTTTAGAAACAGGGTCTCACTCTGTTGCCAAGGCTGGGGTGCAGTGGCACCATCATAGCTCACTGCAGCCTCAAACTCCTGGCCTCAAGTGATCTTCCTGCTTCTGGGATTATAGTGCTGGGAATATAGGCATGAGCCACAGCACCCAACCTGAGTTTGCAACTTTTAAATATATTGGATTTCTGTAAGATTTAAGGTTCTCTGTTTTATAAGGCATGTAGGGGGAGTCATGTCATGGTATGCTGGGTGCACAAACTTGTGCATTGAGATTCTAATGAAAGTCCAGTCTGACCCTTAGGCTTCTGTGGCATCAGGATGGATCCAGTTGCGTTTTCCACTTCTAGAATTAGCAGCCTAGATGTCAGCTATTTCTGCCTAAAGCATGTTACTCTCTGTCGACTTACAGGATGAACCATGGCTTTGTGTATGCATTGTAGGAATTTCTTATTTCAGCAATAAAGATCTCTTTTTGACCACCAAAACCTCCTAGGGCCCTACAGCTCAGAAACCGTTTCAGCTGAAGTTTTGAAATGACCCTTACTCATAATAGAGTCCTGTGCCTGGATTCTGCAGTTTGAGTCAGGACTGTTAATCTGAATGACACAGTTGAGGAGCACAGGATTTTTGTGGCAAGTATGTCAGTGAACAATGACCTGACGTCTTTACTCCTTTTTCTTTTTTTAGATAACAGTACTGAATTTTGGGACACAGATATAAAATGGTTTTCTCTGTTGGAAAGTAGCAGCTGGCTTGACATAATCAGGTATTTCAAACCATTGTTTTACTCTTGAATTTTATAATTGTCTAACTCAGGGTAGTAGATCAAACTGACAAATAATTTAACTGGTATTTCAAAGTTAAATATTCTTAGATCACATGTTCTACAGCTAGATTTTATATTTGCTACTTATTTCTGTGCACATTTGATAGGAATTTATGAACATGCCACCTGCTTACAAGGAGGTGTACTCTACAGACAAGGCATTGAAAAACCACAGAAAGAGTGTGACAACCCAGAATTATTATTGAGGCAGCAGTGCTGGCCTCCAGGGAGGAAATTGAGGGTGAGAACAGGAGTGATACTGACTTTTCACTGAATACCTCTTTTAATCTTGTGTCTTATGCATATATTATCTGTGTTTTTAAAAACCATGATTAATGTCAGTTATTCGTGGTTTGGGAGTTAGGTTGAGAGTTCCAGAGAACAGTTATATTGCCTTTCCTGCTTTCTATATCGAATAGCTCTTCTCTGTTGCCATTAAATAGAGGATATGGCAGAGAAAGGTGCAAAACAGAAATGATGATCAAGGTGAGACAGTAGGTCTAATGCTAGGCTACATTTCAGGAGGGAGAGCAATGCTTCCTGCTGCCTCACACACATTCTCCCTCCATTCTGAAGTGAGTACTGTGGAAAGGAGCCTTGGCCCTCCAGACACTGAACTGTGCTTCAGACATCCTGCTACACATCTCATAATTTGAATATATAATGGGAGACAGGGATAAATGTTGTAAAAGCAAATAACCCTTCTTTGTGTGGGGTGGGCAGAGAAGGGTGAGCATCTCTAGCCAGATGAAGGGTCGGGGTGTGGGAAGGGAGGGTGGCTGGGGGGTAGGAGAGGACACCTCTGCGAGCAGAAGACAACATACATGAAGGCCCCCAGTTATACAAGTCCAAGCTGGGAATAATGGCAACAGTTGCAAAGGGAATAATGTGTAGAGAGAGACAAAAAGGATTTCTGAGCATATTGGAGCTTTTTAGCCACTCTGATACATTCAGCAGGTCACCTTAAGGAAAGTAATCTGGACATGTCTCGCATTCTCCAGGTATGTTTGATTTTTATGAATCTTGCTCAGCAGCAGACTCAAGCATGAGTTTTTAATAAGAATGTCTAGTTTAGAAATTACCTAGGAGCATTTTCATATCAATTTTAGGATTCCCTTCTGAAAATTTTCAGTTTCTAATGGGCAGGAATATATCCTGGTATTTAAATAATGTAAATGGAAGTTAGTTTCTTTTCTGGAGGATTTTAGCATGGAAAAAAAAAAAAATAAGAGAGAAGACTGAAGATCAAGTCAGACTATCTCTAAACTACTTAATGTTTTTGTTACCAAGCTCATGAACTAATGCCCCTTTTTCTTGTCTCTTTCCTATTTAGACGTTGCCTGAAAAAAGCAATAGAGATTACAGAATGTATGGAAGCACAAAACATGAATGTTCTTCTTTTAGGTAATATATAGGAAGCACAAAGGATGATTTCCATTTTCCTTCACTTGAGATTCAATTTTTATATATATAGCTTTGTGTATTTGGAAACAAAAGGAGTGAGTTAGTGTAGAAATCCTTCCTATTCCTTTCTCCCTAACCTTGGAATCCTTTGCCTTGGATTTCAGTGTTAGAGTTTAAAACAAAATTCTTTCACTTCAAACTTGGCAGACCTATTCACCATCCATGAAGGAATTTTTTGGTATCTTTACCAAAGCTCACATTTCTTAATGTTTTGGATTTTGTTTTATATTAACTGAGCTTGGTTAAAGTTAAAATCTTTTTAGAATCCTTCTTATATAAAGAGATCCATGGATGACTTGGTTGTTATTTTTATATCTTTGTGGTTGACAACTTTATACAGTTACCATAGAAACTTGGTGGCCTGTGAGTTCCTTTTCCTCAGTGGGTTTAACTTGCTGTACATGATGCAAACATTCAGAATGTGCGAAAGCAAGTGTAAACCACCATGCAGCGAAGACTGGTGCTGTAACTAGTTACATATGAACTCAAACATTACCTGCTGTTTAGAAATATTAAGTTTCATATAGCCCCACACTATAAATTAAGTAGATTGTCTCATGCTTATACCCTCAAGCTTTTATCATTCTCTGAAACTCTCTGTAACTGTTGGCCCTAGGTTCTAAGGGCAGTCTGGAAGATGTGTCTTTCTGTGGCTCTGTCTGTCTGACATTGGCTGACCGACTTAGATTTGAATACATTTATTGAGCCCCTGCCATGTGCAGGGCTCTGTTCTGCCTTCTAGAAGTTTGCAACCTAATGAGAGAGTTGCCTTAAGTGTGCTATTGAAAAAGACCCAACCAGCCGTGACAGAACAGAGCATTGTTTGAGTACTGAGCAACTAGTGAAAAGGAGGAGGGATAAAGATTGGAGGTCTAAGAAATGGAAGGATTCAGGGCCAGAACACATTAATCACAGAGCTGCATAAAGTGAAATCTGAATCTTTGACTGATGGAACTAAGACGTCCTTCACTCCTGGATGGACTGCTGAGTTGTCTCACCTCTGAAATCTCTTTTAGTCCCTCATTCCATTACCCACAGGAGTATCATTAACACCCTTCAGATCCAAGAAGAAAGAGTTCCTTAAAAATGAAACTTGTGGCTGGACACGGTGGCTCACACCTATAATCCCAGAATTTTGGGAAGCCAAGGAAGGCAGATCACTCGGAGTCAGGAGTTGGAGACCAGCTTGGCCAACATGATGAAACCCTGGCTCTACTAATAATATAAAAATTAGCCGGGCATGGTGCTGTGTACCTGTAGTCCTGTCTACTCAGGAGGCTGAGGCACAAGAATTCCTTTAATCTGGGAGACAGAGGTTGCAGTGAGCTGAGATTGTGCTGCTGCACTCCAGCCTGAGTGACAGCGTGAGACTCTGTCTCCAAAAAAAAGAAACTTGTTTTGAAAACCGGTAGCACTAGAAGGCAAAAACAAAAATTTGTTTCTCTGTAACCCATGTCATCCCATGGTTGAGGCTTGTTTCCTGGAGGGAGAAGTGTAAGCTTGGACCCATAGTGCTCTGTGATTATAGCGGTCAAGATGAAAGAGTTGTCACAGTATGAGCACCTCCCTAGTTACAATTCATTTTTTTTTTTTTTTTTAAGACGGAGTCTCCCTCTGTCGCCCAGGCTGGAGTGCAATGGCTTGATCTCGACTCACTGCAACCTCTGCCTCCCAGGTTCAAGCGATTCTCCTGCCTCAGCCTCCCGAGTAGCTGGGATTACAGGTGTGCGCCACCACACCTGGCTAATTTTTGTATTTTTAGTAGAGAAGGGGTTTCGCCATGTTGGTCAGACTGGTCTTGAACTCCTGACATAGTGATCCACCTGCCTCGGCCTACCAAAGTGCTGGGATTACAGGCGTGAGCCACCGCGCCCAGCCTACAATTCAGTCTTAAGTTTCTCTAACGCCAGTGATACTAGCACCATCCTCCTCATGGACATTTTTTTAAAACAACTTGAGTTGCACCTGTTTTTGTGAAAGGGAAACTATGGGGCTGTAGACCCTGACTTTTAGGATCTTAAAACTCTAAGACAAATGCACGGATAAAGATGTGTGGTGTTTTGCTCTAAGTGATGAATGTTAAACAAGTATGTGAGTGAACTTTTCATCAAATGAGTTTTGGAAAGTGCAGCAGGTGGGCATGTGCAGGTAGACCAAGAAGGGTTTGTCTCCTAGGCTAGGCAGGAGAAGCAGGCACCTCTATATTCCTCAAACAGAAAAGGACAGAGCCTTAGAGCTGAAAATAGAAATAATTTTGCTGCAGTCAAGAAATATTAAACTTTCTCCAAAGTAGAGTTAGTGGAGGACTTAGGAGTGGAGGAAGGGATGTCTGAGGTGAATCTGATAAGCAGCTGAGCCGTGAAACAGTGAGTTCAGTGATGGAGGCTTCCACAGCCCAGGAGGAGTTCAGTGATGGAGGCTTCCACAGCCCAGGAGGAGTTCGGTGATGGAGGCTTCCACAGCCCAGGAGGAGTTCGGTGATGGAGGCTTCCACAGCCCAGGAGGAGTTCGGTGATGGAGGCTTCCACAGCCCAGGAGGAGTTCGGTGATGGAGGCTTCCACAGCCCAGGAGGAGTTCAGTGATGGAGGCTTCCACAGCCCAGGAGGGAAGAGCTTTAGTCTTGGCCTGCGGAGCCTGGCAGGTCATCATGATGTAGGCGATTCTGTTGTCTCTGTGTGGCACACCTAGACCCCCACATGCTGAAAGTAGCTTTGCAATGCTGCATTTATTTATTCAGTATGCAAATCCATATTTCGTACCAGCGTGTGCCAGAACCTGTACTAGACATGCTAGAGCAGTTCATCTCTCAGTCTGAAAACATAACCCTTTGTTATTGGCCCTTGCCTTTAGGGAATAAGAGCATGACCGTTAATAGTAGACCTTGGTGTTGGGAATCCTACTTTTAACTGTTTAAGTGAGAGCATTCTGAAACTTTTTAACATTTTATGCCCTCCTTCCTCCTTGCACTGCTACTGGGGCCTCTCCTAGAGGAGAATGCATCCGACCTCTGCTGTCTCATTTCCTCTCTGGTGCAACTGATGATGGACCCCCACTGCCGAACCAGAATTGGTTTCCAGAGCCTCATCCAAAAGGAGTGGGTCATGGGTGGCCACTGTTTCTTGGATCGCTGCAACCATCTCCGCCAGAACGACAAAGAGGAGGTGAGTTCCCTCACTGCAGACTGTTTCCGTCATGGGGAGAACTAGTGAATCTCTTATTTAATACCTGTCATCAGATGTAGGGTTGCTGCTTGCAAAGTGTAAGCCAAACAGGTTTGTTAAGAAAACTAGGATCATTTCATTGTGTGATGACTTTGGATACTTTAAATAATAGTGAAACCTTTCCCAGAGGAAAGAGATTAACAGGTATGTTCAGAGTTTTCTAAATTGTGTACACCAAGGGTGTATACATATTTCATAGTGGGAATAATATTTATTAATGAGACTTAAATATAGAGTAACTCAGTGAGGGAGACTCCTACCTTTTCTATAAAATTAGTCTTTGCAATAAATAGATATGCAGGGTGCAGGTTTTCTACAAAAAATATAGGTTGAACATCCCTTATCTGAAAGTCATGGTACCAGACGTGTTTCAGATTTCAAATTGTTTTGGATTTTGGAATAATTGCACTCCACTCAATTACTGGTTGAGCATCCTTAATCTGAAAATTGGAAGCCAGGCATGATGATTTGCGCCTGTAATCCCAGCACTTTGGGAGAACAGGAGTTTGAAACCAGCCTGGGCAACATAGAGAGACCTCATCTCTACCAAAAATAAAAATAAAATAAAATAAACTGGGCATGGTGGTGCCTGACTACAGCCCCAGCTACTAGGGAGGGTGAGGTGAGAGGATTGCTTGAGCCCGGGAGGTCAAAGCTGCAGTGAGCCATGATTGTGCCACTGTACTCCAGCCTGAGTGACAGTGAGACCCTATCTCAAAATAAATAAAGTTTTAGATTTTGGAACTGAATGATTTCAGATTTTCAGAGTCAATTTTTTTTTTTTTTTGAGACAGAGTCTTGCTCTGTTGCACAGGCTAGAGTGCAGTGGTGCAGTCTCAGCTCACTGCAGCCTCTGCCTCCTGGGTTTAAGCTTATCTCCTGCCTCAGCCTCCTGAGTAATTGGCATTACAGGTGTGTGCCACCATGATATTTTTAGTAGAGATGGGATATCACCATGTTGGCCAGGCTGGTCTTGAACTCCTGACCTCAAGTGACCCACCTGCCTCAGCCTCCCAAAGTGCTGGGATTACAGGCGTGAGCCACCGTGCCCAGCCATTCAGAGTCAATTTTCCTTACACATAAACCTTTTTGAAATAAAGCACAGGGCCAGGCACGGTGGCTCACACCTGTAATCCCAGCACTTTGGGAGGCCAAGGCAGGCAGATCACAAGGTCAGGAGGTAGAGACCATCCTGGCTAACATGGTGAAACCCCGTGTCTACTAAAAATACAAAAAATTAGCTGGGCATGGTGGCACATGCCTATAGTCCCAGCTACTTGGGAGGCTGAGGCAGGAGAATCACTTGAACCCAGGAGGCAGAGGTTGCAGTGAGCCGAGATCGTGCTACTGCATTCCAGCCTGGGTGACAGAGTGAGACTCCGTCTCAAAAAAAAAAAAAAAAGAAAGAAAGCACAGGATTATGTTAATGCCATCTGTTACCAGGGCCTTAGTGGTAGCCTGGGTGGGACTGTGCCCACAGCCTCTTCTGCTTGTGTCTGGATTAATTGCTCCAGGCCTGGGCCTCCAAGTTCAGGCACAGGAGAGTTAGCATTTTAGGTCACTTGGTGAAAATGAGTCCCCCAAATTGTGCTGTACATGTCTAGGTGACAGCTGTACACACTCCGTTGGCTGCCTTATTGATGATTGGTGAAAGGAAAACTGAAAACACACAAACTTTCTTTAATCAACTCATCTGCAGAGCTGACGTGTGCTAGCAGTGTGACTTGTGGTTTTTCGTAGTCCGGTTAGTCAGCATGTCTGTCTGTGGTGCGGAACAGCTTGACACAGAATGCTGTGGGTACACAGAGCCATGGCTCCTGATCGTAAGGGCTTGGCAGGTTCCTGGGGTGATCCATGTCTCTCTCACTGAGCAAGATGGTTTCTTTCAGGCCTGGCCTGTACTCACCTGTGTCCCATTGAGCTGAATAGAAATCACATCTTTCAGTCCTGGAAGGGACTTTATGGAATTAATTTGAAAGGGTGACAGCATTTACATAACATGGTAGGCAGAAAGAGCTGATACTTTGTGGAGATAAGTATGGTTGTTTTTTTTTCTTTTTCTTTTTCTTTTTTTTTTTTTTTTTTTAAGAGAAGGAGTTTCACTCTTGTTGGCCAGGCTGGAGTGCAATGGCATGATCTTGGCTCACTGCAACCTCCTCCTCCCAGGTTCAAGTGATTCTCCCACCTTGGCCTCTTTAAGTAGCTGGGATTATAGGCATGCCCCTCCATTTCCGGCTGATTTTGTATTTTCATTAGAGACGGGGTTTCACCATGTTGGTCAGGCTGATATCAAACTCCTGACCTCAGGTGATCCACCCACTTTAGCCTCCCAAAGTGTTGGGATTACAGGCGTGAGCCACAGTGCCCGGCCTTGTTTTGTTTTTGAGACATGGTCTCTCTCTGTTGCCCAGTCTGGAATACAGTTGCACAGTCATAGCTTACTGCAGTTTCGACCCCCTGGGCTCAAGCAATCCTCCTGCCTCAGCCTCCTGAGTAGCTGGGACTATAGGCGTGCACTACCATGTCTAGCTAATTTTTGTATTTTTTGTAGAGATGGGTTTTGCCATATTGCCCAGGTTGGTCTCAAACTCCCGGGCTCAGGTGATCCATCTGCCTCAGCCTCCCAAAGTGCTGGAAATACAGGCATGAGCCACAGCACCTAGCCATATGTTTTTGTATATCTTGAGAAAAGGGGGGACTGGCAGGCACCATGTCTAATGGGGAAAGAGTCTAAGAAGAGACCTGATCTGCTGTTCACCCAGCCCTTGGAGAGGTCACCCGTATTTTCTGAGCCTATTGCCCTGCCTATACAGTGCAGTTCAAGTATTTTCCACTCTATTTAATGATATTATGCATAAAGTGAGGTGTGAAATAAAGTTGCTGTACAAATGTTTCTTAGCATCTCAATGTGGACATATTGGAATTTTGAAGGAAAATTGGGTGGTCAAATTTGTGATAAGATTGAAGCGGCACTGCGCTTTAAGAGCTGCATTCCCACGCATCTCTCTCTGTCATGAGCCCTGTGTGAGACCCTGGGGGCCGGCCTCTGGGCATCTCCAATCTTCCGTTTTCTCCTCTGAAAGGGAGAAACTGTAATATAGCTTGTCTTAGCCTCCTGGCAGGATCACTGGTGAATCAGGGAAGATAAGCGCTTTCTAAATGATAAAGCATACTAGAAACTACTCTACCTGCTCATCAAGGGCTCACCTCTGGGAGCTAATAAATGATGCTTGTGGATTTGTAAAGATACATTTTGAAAACATTTTGAAACTCACTTTCACTGCTTCTCCCTTGTCTCCTATCCCCGTTGTCTTCCTGGCCCTCAGTGTGGGGTGGGCAGGAGGCTTCTTCCAGGTTGGTCTTCAGAATCAAACCCTGTCAGTCAGTGTGTGGGAGGTGGGGCATGGAAGTTCCCTCCCACCCCCCGTAACTTTGTATTGACAAAATTCAAAGTAGCACTCATAATTAAGTACATTTTTTGGTAAGATGGTATTACTAGTGGAAGAATGGAATTTTTTTTGGAGGAGATAACGTTTTGCTTAATTGAGGTTCTAAGTTAGTGTTTTCTATTATCAGAATCCATTGCAGATGCTCATCTGTAACACTGATCCATAATGAGGTTTTTACACATTTCATCTTTGAAATGTCTTTGACACAGGTATATAAATCGCAAGCATGTGATTTCAGTTGAGCGTATTTCTCACTTGGGATGGAATGAGTATTCTGTGTTTCCCAGAGAATGAAGTCTCCAGAAGTGCTTATTTCACAGCTGTTGAGGTGCTGTCCCCTGAACTCTGGATGGCTTGCACTGGACTCTGCCCACCAAGTAACGTATCTTGTTTTCATGCAGGTTCCTGTGTTCCTGCTTTTCCTAGATTGTGTCTGGCAGCTGGTGCACCAGCATCCCCCGGCATTTGAATTCACAGAGACTTACCTGACTGTTTTGTCAGATAGCCTGTACATACCTATTTTTAGCACCTTCTTCTTCAATTCACCTCATCAAAAAGATACTAACATGGTAAGAGTCCCTCTTAGGAACCTGTGTATTAAAGAGGCTTCCTCTCACAAGTAGGATGCAGTAATACTGATGCTAAAAGTGGTCTTCACTTGACAGCACATGCACTAAAGAAAGTTGGAATGATACAGAGAAGATTAGCATGGCCCCTGCGAGAGGATGACATGCAAACTCATGAGACATTCCATATTTTAAAAAAGATATTGGGCCAGGTGCGGTGGCTCAAGCCTGTAATCCCAGCACTTTGGGAGGCTGAGACGGGCGGATCACGAGGTCAGGAGATTGAGACCATCCTGGCTAACACGGTGAAACCGTGTCTCTACTAAAAAAATACAAAAAACTAGCCAGGCAAGGTGGCAAGCGCCTATAGTTCCAGCTACTTGGGAGGCTGAGGCAGGAGAATGGTGTGAACCTGGGAGGCGGAGCTTGCAGTGAGCTGAGATCCGGCCACTGCACTCCAGCCTGGGCGGCAGAGCAAGACTCCATCTCAAAAAAAAAAAGATACTGAACACTATATACCAAGCATTGTTCTAAGACTTTCTTAGGTATTAATCCTTACAGCACCCTATGGCATATGCATTTTTATTATCCTGGAGGAAGCTGAGGCAAAAAAAGGATAAGTAACTCACCTGTGGTCACATGGTAAATATTGGAGCTAGAAGCAAGTGTTGAAGCTGGGGAATTAAGCAAAATTCAAAGCTGTCTGTTTTAAAGACAGTCAGACCAGATGTCCTCCCATCTGTTTGCCTGGTGCCTGGAATTCCTCTGTAAAAGAATGGGGACCAGCAGAGCAGGGAAGCTAGGCTTTTCCTTCCATCTTAACCCTTTTGGCCCCTCCTGGGCTGTGCCCCCAATTAGATAATCTCAGTGCTTCTGAGCAGCCTCCTGAGGGGTACAGGGTTTCCTTGAGCTGGGAGGATTACCAAATCCCCCAGTGAAGTAGGAGCAACAGCCCTGCTTTCAGAGCCCAGACTTGTGACTCACCAGCTTCATGACCTTAGGCAGTTCAGTTTTCTGAGCCTTGGTTTCCTCAAATGTAAAATTGGAAAAGCACCAGTTACCTCGCGAGGCTGTGGAAGCACCCAGCACAGCGGCTGGTGTGTAGACTGCTGGAAAGGAAGTGTCCTTGTTCTTGCACTTCTCCCCCACCAAAAGCTTGTAGCGAATAACCACAGGTAGCCTCAGCCTGTAAAAATGAAGTGCCTACGATTCTTCATTCTCAGGGCAGGGCAGGAGCACACTTCCTGGTGCCTGTGTCCAAAAGTATGTGTTTGCCTTCCTCAGCCCTCCCTGGAAGACAGCGTGACCTGTGCTTGTTTTGGCAGGGTAGAGAAGGCCAGGATACACAAAGCAAGCCTTTGAATCTGCTCACCGTGTGGGATTGGTCGGTGCAGTTTGAACCCAAAGCCCAGACATTGCTCAAAAACCCTCTCTATGTGGAAAAGCCAAAACTGGACAAAGGCCAACGGAAAGGAATGCGCTTCAAAGTAAGATGTCCACATGTCTAAACCCCGTTCAGCTGCCCAGACCCCATGCATGTAGTGATAAAAGATACTTATGGATTCTGTCTGCCGGCATGTTCTCCCCTCAAAGCGGTCTGCAGAGTCGAAACTTGTGATGGTCAAATTGTCAAGGACCATTAGAATCCTTTGTTTTCAGCAAATCACCTTTGCCCTGGTGCAACAGGGCCATTTGCCAAATGTCACAGTGGATGCTGCTGCCCTGGTCATACTCCATGGAATCGTACCTCTTGTCCTGCCTGTGTGTGTGTATTAGTAGAGTAAAAGGAACACTGAATGTGTGGGTTTTACTTGGCCAGTACCAGTTCATTTATTATAATAAATAGTAAGACTTTTCTTAATGAGCTGTGCCTGTAAACCACGGGTTGCACAACTCTTTCTGTCAAGGGCTGCAAAGTCTCTGTCACAAGTACCCCTCTACTGTTGTAGTACAAAAGAAGCCTTAGGCTGCTCTGCCCATGGAGTAGCCATTCTTTATTCCTTTACTTAAAAAAAAAAAAAAAAAAAGGAGCCTTAGTAGGCGAACAAGTAGGCATAGCTGTGTTCCAGTGTTTACGAGAACAGGTGCCAGTCCAGATTTGGCCTGAGGGGTGGCCAGTTTGCTGACCTATGCTATGAACCACAAATGTCAGAAACTCATTTTAGTTGATAATCCCAAAGTTGCCTAACTGATGAATTATTTAACTGACATTTCCTAGCTCTGTCTTCAGACCCAGAATTTCTCCCTCACAGAGTCCACAAAAGAGAGAGCAGTGATGGTAAGTCCAAGTCGACGCATGTCACTGCCTTCTCCATGCCATCCTTATCCTGCCTGATCTGGAGGGGCTTCAGAAAGCCTGGCCCTTTCTGGTGTCAGAGTTGGTTCCATTCTAAAGAGGACTGGGGACCTGGGTGAGCCACGGCCAGCAGAGACAATATTGGCTGCTGAACGACTCAGAACGGCCACTCTGCCCTTTTAGGGGCCGCAGGCCCAGGGTGGAGTTTCCCCTTTCTGATGAGCGTCTCCTGCTAGTTTGACCAGAATTGCCCTGAGCCCCAGAACAGCTCGGCCAGAAATCGGTTTTTCTTCAGTGTGTTGTGCCCCCTGGTGGCTGCATGCACATTCTCATGAGCGCCGGATTGACACCACAGAAACTGCCCTGTGCCAGAGTGGCAGGGGACCTCAGAGACAGCGAGGACAACCCCTTGTTTTATAGGGGAGAACCTGAGGCTCTCCCCTTCCAATAATGGATTTCATGTCTGTCCTCAGACCGGGCTTTTCTAATCATCTCTTTTCCTTGGGAGATAGAGACAGACAGCCTGAGCTCCAGGAGTTGGCAGGTGGGAAAGGACTGAGCTGAAGGGGTGGAGAATTTCAGGTCGAAATAGCTAAATCACAGTTGGGACGGGGGCGAAAAGAAGCCTTGAAGCCTTTGGGTAAGAAGACCAGATATCAGGTGGGGCGACGCGTTGAGCAGCCTGGTGGCCTGGGGGAAGTTCTGCAGAGACTCCGAGGAAGCAGGGGCTGAGCAGCATGTGGTGCTGCCATGCGAATGCCACACAGGGAGGGACCCATTTCAGTGTGCAGCCTCGGTGTCAGCCGCAGGCCCAGGCCAGGCTTTGGCCTGCGGAGCTGCTGGCATGTCAGCTGCTCTTGAGTACTCTTTTCGCTTAGGAGATAGAAGGGGGCTTCCATAACCAAGGAGAGCTCAGTAGAGAGCCCAGGCTCTGGAGCCAGACTATTTGAACCATCACCTTTGGCACTGAGCAGCAGTGCCTTCGGCAGATTGCTTACCCCTGTGCCTTAGTTTCCTCACTTGTAAAATGGGGCAATGATGATGACTTGGAGAATGATGTGCTCAGTGAATGTGAGTACTGAGCACAGAACCAAGCAGGCAGGAAGCACTGGGTGACGGTTCAGTGTAGTCCCTGCCCTGCCTGGCACATCTTCACGATGGAGAAAAGAGAGGCCACTGAATCCTGGCCTTCATCTCTCCTGAGCCTGGATGGAAAGTCAAATCCTGGTCACCTCCGAGTTGTGGTCTTGTGGATGGTTTTGCTTTCTTTTTAATATTTTTATTCCATATTTCATAATAAGGTAATAATTTTCTTTACAATAAAGAATATTTTTTTACAAGGAAGAAACACTGCTGGAAATATGTTAGAGTTAGAGCAAGCCTGAAAGTTAAGTTGTTATCTCTTCTTCAAATGAATAGGAGCAAAAGAGCTGGACAAACAGCTTCTCCCCATGTTTTTTTACTTCTCATTTGAGCACTGGGGAACCCTCATGACCTTCTGACCACATCCATCTTTCATAACCCTTTCTTTCTTTTTTTTTTTTTTTGAGTCGGAGTTTCACTCATTGCCCAGGCTGGAGTGCAATGGCATGATCTCGGCTCACTGCAGCCTCTGCCTCCTGGGTTCAAGCAGTTCTCCTCCCTCAGCCTCAGGTGCCCACCACCACACCCTGCTAATTTTTTTGTATTTTTAGTGGAGATGGGGTTTTGCCATTTTGGCCAGGTTGGTCTTGAACTCCTGGCCTCAGGTGATCTGCCTGCCTCGGTCTCCCAAAGTGCTAGGATTACAGGCATGAGCTACTGTGCCCAGCCTCACAACCCTTTCACAGTGCACCCCCAAATATAGTACTCTGCTCTGGCCACAGAGATAATTACCAAGGGGGGAAATAGGAAAATGTGAAAATGTTCTCACATTTTCTACTCCTTGCAGGTTGCCAGACAAATCTGGTCAACTTAGCTGGCTCATCAAATTTCTTTGCTCTCACCTGCCTGTTTTCTTTATCTAAAAGAATCTTTATGACTTAGGCTTAAACTCCCACTGGATGTCTGATAAGCTGCTATTTCACCCATGCGATACCATCTTCTGGTAGTCAGCAGTGCCTGCTTGCAGTTGTTGAGAAGATTGTAGTGGTTAACAGCCTGAAAGTTCTCAAAGAGGAAACATCTTTTTCCCTTTAGAACACAAATAGGCCTGAGCCACAAGTTCCTCTCAATCATTAAACTATCTTCAGTTCAACAGCTTTTTCAGAAGTACTTTGTGTCCTGTGGAGCTCCTGTGACAGAGGAGGAGGGCACCGAAAGCTCCTTTCTCTGTCCCAGCATGCCTTTCTGCACAGCTGCCACATGCACCTGCTTTCCCATTGGTTTCTGGTACAGTGTGCACCATGAGAATACACAGGAACACTCCACCTCTGGATGTCACCGTGTGTTAATGAGTGTGCATTCACATGGCAACGCTGATGTCTCTTGGAACTTGTTAAAGCAGGGTTATGCTCTGTTTTTTATGGTAACAACTGTTAACTGTGCCTGTGATGTTAACCAGCGATTTTTATTTGTTTCCTCTCAAAGCATCAACGACAACTTTCTTTGCCACTTACGCAATCTAAGTCATCTCCCAAAAGAGGATTTTTCAGGGAAGAAACAGATCATTTGATTAAAAACCTTCTGGGCAAGAGAATTAGCAAACTTATTAATTCTTCTGATGAGCTCCAAGACAACTTTCGAGAGTTCTATGACAGCTGGCATAGCAAGCCCACTGACTACCATGGTTTGTTGTTACCGCATATTGAGGGGCCCGAAATCAAAGTGTGGGCCCAGCGCTACCTGCGCTGGATTCCAGAAGCCCAAATCCTAGGTGGTAGCCGAGTGGCCACTATGAGCAAACTCTTGGAAATGATAGAGGAAGTCCAGAGTTTACAAGAGAAGATCGACGAGAGACACCACAGCCAGCAGGCCCCCCAGGCTGAGGCCCCCTGCCTGCTGAGGAACTCTGCCCGCCTGTCCTCTTTGTTTCCTTTCGCTCTGCTCCAGCGACATTCCTCTAAGCCGGTCTTACCCACCAGTGGCTGGAAAGCTTTGGGAGACGAAGATGATTTGGCCAAACGAGAAGATGAGTTCGTGGACCTAGGGGACGTGTGACCTGTTTGTTGAGTGACTGTGAAAGAGGAATGTGGGAGATGGGGACAGCTGATCCCCGGATTCATGTCACGCAGCAGCTAATGCTGGCCGGGTCCTTAGCCCGGCACTCCGTTGGAGTAAAGCTGGGCCTTCGGGAAAAGAGGTGGCTCTCATTATCGTTTCATGGTTCTAAAAGACTATGCAATTGAAACTGCATCTGTAGTATTATTAATTGGAAGGAATTATTACTTGACCCGTGATAGGGTTGTGGCCGTTTTCTGATGCCTAAGTATTATACAGAGCGTGCAATGGCCAGTTTACCAGAAAGGGCTTCAGTAAGATATTCTTGGACTTGATACTTTCTTCAGACCCTCTTTGTGCCAAGATAATTTATCCAGTCATTGGAAATAGTAAGTTTCTGTGTAACCCATCTCAATTATAGAAGCAAGTTCAGCTTTACGTATTTGTATGGCGAGTTGAAGATTCAGATAGAGGTATTAAGATGTGTGGCATTTACTTAAACCATCACATTTTTTCTTTCTATGCCCCTTTGCCTGTAAAACAGCTGGGAAGTTCCACTGGTGTCATCCATCCTGATGCTTTGCCTGTGGGTGGGGGCTAGTCAGCCACCACACTCTTTTCTGTGCTGCCAGCCCCAGGTCTTCTTCCGCCTGCTCCACACCACTCGCCGCTGTCCCTCTGCACTCCCTGCCTTGGTGCGCGTAGTCCCAGTGTCTCATTGCCAAACCTCTTGGTTACGCTGTGGGGATCTGTTTCTTTGCCTGACATCCTTCCTGAGGAGCTTCCATTCCTCTGGAGTCTCTCGTTGTTTGGAACAAATCGCTTCGCCTTTTTCTACTTGCCTGCTGAGGATTTGGAGCACTTGTGATTGCGGTTTTCTGCCGCAACCCCTGAGCCAAGTTCCTCACATTCTTTCACCTTTATGGACTGATGGGATTGGGTCACTTTTGAATGTGGCTTTCATAGGAAAGCAGTTTAAACATAAGTATCAGAAGTGATGATTATCATATGATACCTCAGTGATTTTAAAAGCCATAGAAGAAACTTGACTATGCCTGGTCACCTTCTTGGATCTGCTGTCTAAATTATATATATATATATACACACACACACACATACATATATTTTTTTTCTTTTTAATGCAGGAAAGTGTACTTTGTATGTAAGGAGCAGTGTTTTTTTGTTTTTGTTTTTGTTTTTTTGATTTTTTTGTTCTCAGTGGAACCCTGTCAAATCCCATAAAAGAGGAAGAAACCAAAACTCATTAGAATGTTTTAAATTGAATGTTTGCCTTTTTACATATATTTGCTTTTCAGTATGGATCCCAATTTGAATGTTACATGTTTAGAAAAATTTTCTTTTTTTTTTTTGAGACAGAGTCTGGCTCTGTCGCCCAGGCTGGAGTGCAGCGGCAAGATCTCGGCTCACTGCAAGCTCCGCCTCCCGAGTTCACGCCATTCTCCTGCCTCAGCCTCCCGAGTAGCTGGGACCACAGGCGCCCGCCACCTCGCCCGGCTAGTTTTCTGTATTTTTAGTAGAGATGGGGTTTCACCTTGTTAGCCAGGATGGTCTCAATCTCTGACCTCGTGATCCGTCCGCCTCGGCTTCCCAAAGTGCTGGGATTACAGGCGTGAGCCACTGTGCCCGTCCAGAAAAGCTTTCAGTTACTCAAGGGCAATAAGAAAATTTGAGGCCAGGCGTGGTGGCTCACGCCTGTAATCCCAGCACTTTGGGAGGTTGAAGCGGGCAAATTGCTTGAGCCTAGGTGTTCGAGACCAGCCTGGGCAACATGGCAAAACCCCATCTCTACTAAAACAAAAAGTAGCCGGGTGTGGTGGCGCATGCCTGTAGTCCCAGCTATTTGAGAGGCTGAGGTGGGAGGATCCCGTGAGTCCGGGAGGCGGAGCTAAGATCGTGCCACTGCACTCCAGCCTGGGTGATGGAGCAAGACCTCGTCCCAAACAAAGAAAATTGGGAACTGTTGACTAGGAGGAGTTTCTAGGTTTGCACTGAATTGTCTTTTGTGCATACGGTGACTTGTTTTGCTGTTCTCCCCACTCCGTATTAGTGCAGGAGCCAAGTTGGTCTGTTAAGATGAACAAAGGTTGAGGGGAGAGGAGGATTCGTGCATCTAGGGGCCAAACACATGTTCCGTCTTGATTGCCTTAAGAGTTACTAGCAAGGTCAGTGTTAGGCTTGCGATAGGGATTTTAAAATACACTAACTAGTTCCTTAGCTACCTTCACATACATTCTATAGGCCTTCTTAAATTAGCACTAACCTCCACTTCCTTCTCTGCCCCATTGCCTCCCAAATATGCTATGGAGCTATTTTTGTTACCACATTATAACATGAATATTTATACAGTAGCCTCTTCAGGCTTCGTAATTTTCATTCCAAAAATGCCCGGTGTGATGCTTTACACTCTACAAAGTATGGTTTAAAGGCACAAGGTCATGGCCTTTGTCATAGCAGTTGAATGTGCATTGAAATATTTTTCTATGATTTTTTAAAAATTACAATAGAAAAATAAGCTGTTGTAACGTGTAAGGTCATGACAATTTTTGTATTTATATTTGAAATCAGATTTCTATAACTTGTATTTGTGTACAGAATTCTCAGTGGGTTTATATATTGTGAAATTTTTATCCGAGATTGGGATGTGGATTATGCTTAACAGTGAAAGCTGAAATGAGACCATTTACTTTGTTTAAAATGCTGTACTGTGCAAGTTTGGAAATGTAAAAGAATTTACTGTATATAATTATCTTGAGTTTGTTTATACCTCCAGGTTTTTACACTGAAGATAAACTAACTTTAATTAAATTCAAAACCTTTTTCTTTATAAGGGAATAAGCTGCTGAGCTAAACCTGTATCTATGTGCTTTGTATTTTCTGGATGCACAATGAAAGTTTTTACTTGTATCTCACTGCATCATATCTGATTGCAGAAATTAAAGCACAATTTACAAGCAATGCCGTACTTGGTGTGGTTGGTATAACACATGGAGTAATCCCTTTCATTCTTTCAGGAAATATTGAGCATGTACTGGGTATTTGTCAGGGCCAGTGGGGATAGCAGTGAAGAGTGGAGTTTGTGTTCTTGTGGGGCACAGGGAGTTTTGGTGGTGGGAACCAATAGCCAAACAAATATTTAAAATCTGAGGTGATTTGCAGTTACATGTATATCACAGCACTATTCACAATAGCAAAGACATGGAATCAACCCAGGTGCCCATCAGCGATGGATTGGATCAGGAAAATGTGGTACATATACACCATGGGATACTATACAGCCATAAAAAAGAACGGAATCATGTCCTTTGCAGCAACATGGATGCAGCTGGAGTCCATTATCCTAAGTGAATTAATGCAGAAACAGAAAACCAAATACTGAATGTTCTCCTAAGTGGAAACTAAACACTGGGTATTGGACATAAAAATGAGAACAACAGACACGGGACTCAAAACGGGGATGGAGTCGGGGAAGGGCTGAAAAACTACCTATTGGGTACTATGTTCACCGTTTGAATGATGGGTTCAATTGAAGCCCAAACTTCAGCATCACGCAATATACCCATGTAATAAATCTGCACATGTACCCTCTGCATCTAAAGTAAAAATAAAACATATAGCCAGGCGCGGTGGCTCATGCCTGTAATCCCAGCACTTTGGGAGGCCAAGGCGAGCGGATCACCTGAAGTGTCGGGAGTTCAAGACCACCCTGGCCAACATGGTGAAACCCTGTCTCTACTAAAAAAATAAAATTAGCTGGGTGTGGTGGCGCATGCCTATGATCCCAACTACTCAGGAGGATGAGGCAGGAGAATCACTTGAACCTGAGAGGCGGAGGTTGCAGTGAGCCAAGATCGTGCCATTGCACTCCAGCCCGGACAACAGAGAAGGGCTCTGTCTGGAAAAATAAAAATAAAAATCCTGGGTGATGATACAATGCTGAAGAAAAAATAGGGTGGGGATAGGGTGATTAAAAGAAAAGAGTTTTTAAAAATCCTGAAGTATTATTACCTCTTTGCTTTTTGTGGGGGTCTGTAAAATTAGAATTCTGTTACTCCGGAATAAGAATTGCTGGAAGAGATCTGAGTACATTTAAACCATCTCTGGTTTCATTTAAACCATGAAAGATAGAAAAAGGCTTTGTTTTTGCTTCCAGAGAGGATAAGTGAGCGAGCACAGGGTGAGATGGCTTATGAGAGTAGGATTTGTTTCTAATTCGTTTTGTTTAATGCTTAACTAGATTGAGACATAGCACTTTGTATGTTCTGAGAAACAAGGCTCATATTTCTTTGACCTTTCCTACCTACAGAGGAGGCTTCCGACTCTGCTGCTTGTCCCCATCCCCCTTTCCTATCTGGCCAGGCCCGCACTACTATGTCCAGAAAGCTAGCTCTGAGACATCCTTGGAATTTAATAAGCACTCATGAATGCCATGTGCTTTTCAGATGTTTTGCTGCTTTGGTGCTTGTATTAAATTCCCAAGTAGTGGTTGTGACTGTAGAGTTTAGCAGCTTCTTGTCTTATTTTCCACATGTGTTTAGCTCGTGTACTTTTGGTGGACTCAGCTGTCTCTCACTCTTGATTTTACTTGTTCCTTGATGTCCAGGTGAGGGCATGGAGGGACTTGGGGAGTAAAGAGTGGAACATTCTCCGTCCAATGTGAAACAGGGTGGGGGGTCGGTTCCTGTCGGGAATTAGCCCCTGTGCCTTCATGCCCCCTATCATTAAGGGAGTTGGGGGCAGAGGGGGTCCTATCTAAAGCCTGTTTTCTGGCCAGGCACAGTGGCTCACACCTGTAATCCAGCACTTTGGGAGGCCGAGGTGGGCGGATCACGAGGTCAGGACATCGAGACCATCCTGGCTAACACGGTGAAACCCCATCTCTACTAAAAATACAAAAAGTTAGCCAGGCGTGGTGGTGGACACCTGTTGTCCCAGCTACTCAGGAGGCTGAGGCAGGAGAATGGCGTGAACCCGGGAGGCAGAGCTTGCAGTGAGCCCAGATCACACCACTGCACTCGAGCCTGGGCAACAGAGCAAGACTCTGTCTCAAAAACAATAAAAAAAATAAAAATAAAAAAGCCTGTTTTCTGAGCTGGGCTTGTGTCCCACTGTGGCTCTAGATTATTTATAAAGGCGTCCCTGGGGCAGGACAATTTGGGGCTGAGCATGCAGCAGATACAAGATCTATAGAGATGCATGGCCTTATTGGGTCCACCTTACACACACACACACACACACACACAACACCCTGAAAATTACTAGCAGGAGGGTGGGAGAGGCAAGACCCTGTTTGTACCGCGGGTTCCAGTGTAACCAGGGACGTGTCCAAGTGCCTACACTTGAGTTTGTTGATAACCAGGCTAGCTGGAGTAGTGCAAAATCAGGGTTTTAAATATCATATATTGAAAAGTAATTTGAGTGGTTTTATGTCTAAAAACAGGCATCTCAGCTTGTTTTGTGGTTCAGACCCAGGTTCTTTTCTTTTTAAATCCCCTATTACACTGTCTGCCCTTAGCAATTAAAGGATATGAAGTGTGTCATCATATGAAAATATGCACAGTAAGCTTTCTTCAATATATAATCTGTAGGTTAACACACAGTAAGCTTTTTGGACTTGTTTTTTAAAAACTTTCGTTTTGCTAGCCAGTTTCATAAAGGGCTGTCTGGACCTGAATGTTTTTATGAAATCCTGAATGGAGGACTTTTCAAATTGTCCTCGCAGAAGTCTGAGGCACAATGAATGTCATGCTTACTCATCCCCAGCACTGAAGGGGCACAAGTGCATGCCATTCCTGGGAAAGAAAAGAATGCAGACAGATGGCATTTCATCCTTGGAAGGACCCTGAGGACTCTGCTTGGAATGCTGCTGCAGTAGCCTCCAGGAGAGGATGGAAAAGACCTCTCCTCTCTCCCCGGCTGATGGGGGTGGGGTGGGGTTGGGGGGAAACAGTAGAGATTGGTAGGGGAGGGGCAGGGGTGGACTGGGAAGGGGCACAAGGGAATGTTCTGGAGTGATGGTAGATAGTAGCATTGTATATCTTTTTTTTTTTTTTTTCTTTTTGAGATGGAGTCTCACTCTGTCGCCCAGGCTGGAGTGCAGTGGCGCAATCTCGGCTCACTGCAACCTCCGCCTCCCAGGTTCAAGCAATTCTCCCACCTCAGCCTCTCGAGTAGCTGGGATTACAGGCGCCCGCCACCTCACCGGGCTAATGTTTTGGTGTGTATTTTTAGTAGAGACGGGGATTTGCCTTGTTGACCAGGCTGGTCTTGAACTTCTGACCTCAAGTGATCCACCTGCCTTGGCCTCCCAAAGAGCTGGGATTACAGGCATAGGCCATCGCACCTGGCCAAATCTTTCTATTTTCCAAACTTTTATTTTTTTAATTTAAAAACTTTTTTTTTGGACAGGGTCTCCCTCTGTCGCCCTGGCTGGAGTGCAGTGGCGCGATCTTGGCTTACTGCAAGCTCCGCCTCCCGGGTTCACGCCATTCTCCTGCCTCAACCTCCCAAGTAGCTGGGATTACAGGCACCTGCCACCATGCCCGGCTAATTTTTTTTTTTTTTTTTTTTTTTGTATTTTTAGTAGAGATGGGGCTTCACCATGTTAGCCAGGATGGTCTCGATGTCCTGACCTCGTGACCCGCCCGCCTCGGCCTCCCAAAGTGCTGGGATTACAGGCATGAGCCACCACGCCTGGCCAAAAAAAAAAAAAAAACATTTTTTTGAGACAGATCTTGTTCTGTTTCCGAGGCTGGTGTGCACTGGTGTGACGACAGCTCACTACAGCCTTGACCTCCATTTTGTAGAAATGGAGTCTCACTATGTTGCCCAGGCCAGTCTTGAACTTCTGAGCTTGAGTGATCCTCCTGCCTTGTCCTCCAAGAGTGGTGGGTTTGGAGGTATGAGCCTCCGTGCCCCGTTCTGGCTCTCTGAAGCCAGACTGTCTGAGTCTGAACCCCTGCTTTGCAGCTTACAAACTGTAGGATAACATCCCTCCATCTCCGTTTCCTCATCAGTAAAATGGCACCATGCCGGGAACCCACCTCACTGGAGAGCTGGAGGGTTAAGGATAAGTGTCTATTATAATGTAAATATTCAGTGCATGGAGCTATTATTGTGTATGTGTTTGGTCATTTACATACATCATGTAAACAGAGGGGTGTGTGTGTGTGTGTGTGTGTGTGTGTGTGTGTTTAAACTTAATCTCCACCCCAGGAACAATTAACATTTGAAGTATCCTAAACAGGAACCTAAGTTCCAAAGGTGGCTACATAAGCACTTCAAATGTTTTCAAAATCTATCCCAGAAGGTTTGTTGAGCAGCACATGGAATGTTAAAAATCATCTTTCAAAGGTGCAGTGAGTGGGTACATGTGGTTAGCTAGAAATATCAAAGAGGCCTCACTCTTACACCTACAGGATATACAAATCCATCAGGCCCAGCAGTATAAATGCACCAGAGCAGAGAACGAGGCCTAAAAACCCTCCACATCACCAGACGGACTGCAGGGTTAGCTGGTCCTGCTGTCTCATTGCATCTTTTTGTTTTTGTTTTGAAACAGGGTCTTACTCTCTCACCCAGGCTGGAGTGCAGTGGCACAATCATGGCCCACTCAACTTCTGCCTCCCAGGCTCCAGTGATCCTCCCACCCCAGCCTCCCTAGTAGCTGGGACTATAGGTTCGTGCTACTGTGCCCGGCTAATTTTTGTATTTTTAGTAGAGACAGGGTTTTGCCATATTGCCTAGGCTGGTCTCTAACTGCTGAGCTCAAGTGATCCACCTGCCTCAGCCTTCCAAAGTGCTAAGATTACAGGTGTGAACCACCACGCCCAGCCTGTATCTAACTTAAGAGTAAAATTTTCATGCAAGGTATTGTGTGGGGGCCTGAGGACAGAGAGTGGGAATCCTCCACAAAGTCTAAGAACAGGAAATACGACACTTTCTTTTCTTTTGAATTT